CTATTTTTTTTTCAATGACAAAAGAAATAAAATAAATATGTGCATTATTTTTAATGTAAAATTGTATTAATTAATATCCTAAATATTTTAATTATATAAAATTTTTAAGAAAGCTTTTTTTATAACAATAATATTAATAATATTCCATTAATTTTTAATTGATGGTTTAAAATGTGTATTTAAAATAAATTAATTCCTTATATTTAAAAATGCGCCTGAGTCTCGAGGCTTAATATTATATTTATTATATTATAGACCCTTATTTATCCAACTTATTAGTACACTTAGATTATAAAACTTTAAAATTCCCTTATCCTTTTTAATATACTTATGTGCACTATAAATGTTATTAATATCAATTATAAATATATTCAATTCTCAGTCGTTAAAAAAAACCATTTAGGAATTATCTGGTGAACTTATGTTTATATCTTATATATAGAAATTTGACGAGTAAAAGTTGCCCTATTTATAAGTCCATTCCTTATAATTTAAAAAATAAAATATAGGAAAAAAAATTCGTTGCTTCTTTAAAATTGCAATTATTGATTGAATCCCATATAGTGTTCCCTCGGCTCTTGAAAAAAAGGAGAAATATAATACCAATTTTTAATTCCTTTGGTTTACTAGCTGCTAATCCACAATTTTTTTATTAACGTGTTGTCTATAGACCTGAATGCGTTTTTATTATGACAATTAGGTTAAGCACATAGCTTAATTATATCAATACATTGTATATAAATGCATCCCTTGAAACTATGAATTGGAACCTTTGTGATATTAGGATTAGGTAGGTTTTTTTTCGGGGTCCAAAAGGGAAAAGATTCTAGAAGTATTTACATTATACAATATTATCTATATAAAATTAAAATAAATAATTTCATTTTTTAAAAAATTAAAAAACCGCAATTTTTTAAAAAGTAATTTTGATATTTTTTTGATGTTTCTACTCGATACTAAGATTCTGGTTTAAGATTCCGATCTCTGCTTAGAATATAAGCCCTTTTGTTATTTTTAAATTAAAATCGCTTCTAATTGAAACTAGTAGACTCAGGCGCGTAACCAATAGGGGAGAGGGAATTTCACCTCCTCAACGCTAATTTGTCTGTTCTCGTAAATATTGAAAGCTAATAAAAATTTCCCCGTACACACCCCTCCCCTCACTACCCTATCCTTAAAAAATGTATATAATATATCATTTTAAGGACGAAAAAGAAAAATTAGTAAAAGTTAATAACTTTTTAAAATAACGACTATAATTAAAAATCTTTTTAAAAAAAGTGAAAACTCAAAATTATTTTTATAAAAATCGAATATAGCCAAAGGCCAACAATAAGTGGACCTAAAGATCTCCAATAAATTCATGGGGAAAAAATCAATCTAATAGTGTTCCCACCCCCCTAGTCAAATCCTGGATATGACTATGAGTGGACTCAAACCTATTAGTTATTCCTTTTTTTTAAATTTTGGAATATTCAATTATATCATCATAACTCATAAGACAAATTATAAATGTTAACATAATTTTTTCAACCGTAATCGCAAAATTAATAAAAAAAATTAAGGTTGTTTTGGAAAATGTGTTACAAGATTTTATAAGATAAAACTAGGTTTCTCGGCTAAATTTTCAAAGCTTACTCATTAATCTTCAAATCCCGTAGTAAAGGAAGAAAAAATATATTAATAATATTGAATGCGATAAAAACAATATGTTGTTTTGTGTCCTATAAAAAAAGAAGGAAGAAATAAGCTACGATATAATTTATCTCATTAGAAAAAAAATTAATTAGCAAAACAGCGTGAAAAAATATTACTATTTTGAAATCGATTGCGGCAGATTACTTTCACTATTCGAAAAACTAAAAAAATCCACTAAAATATGTGGTGTTATAAATGGCTCGATTTCGGATAATACAATATTTTAGCCAAAAAATATTATGCAAGCCTCGATCCAAGCCTTTCTGCCATCTATGAGCAAAATCTCCAAGCTTGCGTAATATTTTATGACTTAAAATATTTAGTAAACCGTTTTTAAAAATAACTAATTAAAATTTTGAACTCTTTATAAATCGACAAAAGAAGTGTTAAGCTTCAAAAATTTATAAATTGTCTATTATGATTATAGTTAACTAGACTAAAAAATTTAAGCCCTGCTAGTCGGCCTAAAACTTGTTTCTAACTGGTCTTAGGTCTAAAAACAAAATTCCAAAATTAACTCATAACTTTAACAATAATTAGATTATTAAAATTAATTTTTTTTAATATTTAGACAGTCGCACGCCAGGCCATAGCGAAATTAGCGGGTCGGGCTTAGGCCTAAAATAATTGAATTTGCCGGAATGATAGTTGATTTATAAGAGTATTTCCGCAAATTACTATATGAAATTACTGTCACACATATATCGATATGAAATTATTTTTAGTGTATTATATAACATCAAAGTGTGTGTATATTATTTGTTCATTATCGATTTTAAAAAATTAATATTATTTTAAATGTTTGCTATTATGTATTATAAATAAAAATTATAATAAATAAAATCGCGAATTTTTTTTTCTTGAACTAAAGTTATCTTTTTTTTTCATACTGTTAGATTGATTTTTCACTAAATAATTATGAATACTTGCATAAATCCGCTTATAATGGTTTTTACTGTATGTATAAGATATTGATGTGTAATATATTAGGATCACTGAATTTAAAATGCGCCAATAATAAATATTACAATTTTGAATTAGTATAGAACATATTATCAAAGATCTTGAATCAATTTACCTTGTATAACATCCTCCAAATAATTTTTTGAATTATTTTTAAAATTTTACTTTTGTCGGCCAATTTCCTCCATATACAGTGAAGATACCCCCCCCCCCCCAGTCCCCGCCTCCACCCACACCTAATAGTAGAATTTGTATCATGGTTAGTCTTATAATTTATAATTAATTTTAAAAAATATTTTGAGAATACTTTAAAACGTGGGTATGATAAATCCATAATGATGAATTGGGTATAAGGTAGAAAGGACTTCATCAGTGCCAAAAAAAGAAGTCATTATTAACAATAGTGAGACAGGAGATATATTAAGTCTTGGCTTATAGGGAAACGTTTCGCTTATTTATCTAAGATATTAAACTTCGAGTTCATTTTTTTAAACAAAAAAAATATATGTATAATTATATAAACTTATATATTCTGTTAAAATTTACATTTATATTAGTTAGTTAGATAGAGAATTGCTAGATCAAAATTATTGGATAGTGATAGATTTTAAAAAATTTGGATCTACGCTTTTCCTTTTCTACCGAATTCAAAAGGAGCTAATCTTTAAGCTGCCAAATCTAATCACCTATTTATTTTATATTTTATTTATTGTATTATCATGTTATTTAGTTTAAAATACTCATCAATAAATAATGATAGCCCCCCCCCAAAAAAAGGGGGGGGTTGAGCAGATCCAAATATCAGATGTAAAATGTAATTAACTATTATTTTTTGGATTTTATTATCTTTACCAGCTAATTCCTTTAATGCAAATGTGTTATGCTCGCATGAGCAATTTAAGAGTGTTGGTGTATTGATTTGATTGATAAATTTAAATCATTTATAAAATTTAAAAGGTTTAATTTACAAATAACATAATAAAATAAAAATTAGTCGAAATTGAATATTCGATTTGTTTTTTTTGAATAAGCTTATTTGCTTGCGTATCTTCCTCACCAAATCCTTTTTAATCTATATGCTTTTGAAATGAGAGGTGAGACGAAGGTCTTGTGGGACACAAAGGCAAACTTAATAAAATTAAAAGTAATATTTAATATAAAAAAATAGTTAATCTCGTTCCTTTTTAAATTTCAATATTTTCTGTTACGATGGAATCAAAAAGTCTTTTTGGAATATTTGACCCATACCTCCGGAAAGAGTGAGCCAGTACATGGGACTGGTGAACTAATTTTTATTTTATAAAAAATTAAAAGAAAAATTTGACAGATATTAAATATAAACTCTATTACAAAAATTTGACAGGTTGTCCAACATAAATGAGAATTACCGCATCATATACAACAAAGCATGTTCATCTGATTTAACATATTATTTATAATTTTTTTGGGCCGAGTGGAGTTAACATTGATATGATAAATGATAAGATATGTTGATCAGAGATTTCCCACCCCTTCCAATTCTCTTTGCAAAATAAAACCAATAACTTCAAAAAGAACTTTTTACATCAATCGTATTGTATTTGTAATATGATATATTGTTTATATAAATAAATTTGTATTTTGCAAACTATTCATATTTTTATTTATTCCTTTATATACAATAATTCAAACAGCTGTTAGCATTGGATCAAATTTTTTTTAGAAAAAAGGCATTAGAAGAATATTATGTACGGTTAAAGAATGAGAATAGAATTATTAAGATAGAGTTAAATGAGTTTGATAAGCTATTTATGAAATACAAAGATGATGATTTTAAGATTTATCCAATTTTAGAGTTTTTATTTGGGTTCCCAATTCCTTGAATTTTTTTTTAACCATTTTATTAATTTATTATGTTTCTGAATATTTATATTTAAAAATAATGGTAAACTTTTCAAAATTTAAATAAAATGATTAAAAATATGAAGAATTTTATATGCAGAAAATCAATCACTTGAGTGGCTTAGTCGTCATGTGATGTTAAACATTCTTTTATTATTTTTTCATTTTCTTTTCCCTTTTAAACAATTTATCTCACCATCGTCATAATATTTTTCAACCTTTAAAACTCTCTCATTAATATTATTTAATCTTTTCCCGCAATTTATATTATTATTTTAAATTTTATAATATATTTTTTTTGCGAATTGCTAAATATAAAATCAAAAAGAATTATTTAAAATAAAATATACTATTTTTTAAAATATTTATTTAAAAAAATTTTTTTGTTATATTTTTCTTTTGAAGAAATAAATAAAGAAGATTGATTAATTAAAATTAATTAAAATTTATAATTTGAAAGGAAAGTTAAAAGTTTTATAATAATTTTAGGCAAACAAAAGCAACAACTCTTTAATTAGTTTTATATATTTATTATATTTGTTTTGTAAAATTATAAACTATTCCTTAAAAAAATGGATTTCATGAGTATCTGCGAGATTTAGATTATCAGTTTTGTGCGCACAAATAATCAAAATTAGATTCTTATTACAAATATAATTCATCATTCATTTATCTAAGTAAAGAATGACAATTTTTTTTAGAATAAAATTTATATTATATTAATAAATATTGTAATTTTTGAGAAATATAAATTGCAAGTGGAACGTAAGTAAATGAATTTCGTGGCCTTCAAATAAATTCACATAGCCATGGGCGGGGGGAGGTGGCAAATAATTTCGGCTCCCAAACTTGGTAATTAAAATTTGCAAAGGGTGTTTCTAAATAACCCTATTAAGATTTTAGCTAGAATAATATAATGTAAGACTCGAGATTTGGCAAATACAGGTCCAAACCTTTCTACCATCTGTGGGTAGAACCTCCAGGCTTATATAATATTATTTTGGCTAAAATCCTGATCGGAACGTTTTTTAAAATTTGGCCTTTTAACAACATCAGTAAGCGAGTGCCTTCATTCGCAAACAATTGTACTAATTATATTAAGTACCTCCCACATAATATTTCCTCAATTTTTTAAAATTTAATATAAAATAGAAAAAAATGCATTTTCACATTTAAAATTTACAAACAAAATACTATATATAGATCTTTTAACTTTATTTGTTCATTATTTAAGAAAAAAAATGATTTTTTTCTTCGCATTTTCAAATTAAATACAAACAATTCCTAAAAACTTTACATCAAGATGGGTGTTTAATAAATCAATATCTCTATCAAAGTAGAAAATGATAAATAAACTGATCATCTTAGGAAAAAACGGGGAAAAAATTATGGGCTAAATTTAAAATGAAAATAATTATCCGTTAATTATTGGACAAGCTGCAGTTATATCCTCATATAGAGACTAGCTCTTTGCTTAAACGCTTATGGGGCAGTAAAAAGATAGTTAAAATACGCCCATGGTTTAGTTAAATATTTTAATTTGGCATGGGTTTGATCAGGTTAAATTATGTTTATATCTTAGTTTGAGTTTATAAAGCTTTTTCTGGAATGAATTTTTCAATCATTCATTCATACGATAAATTTTAATGGATTTAAGGGATTACACCTTGTTTATAACTATAAAATACCAACGCTTTCTAATAATAATAATAAAATCAGTCATGTGTGAAGATTAGATATTTCTACTGTTTTTAAACGGCTCGATTTGAGCCGATTTTTAAAAAAGGCATACTAAATATTTTATCCAGAAAAATATTACTCCAGTGAAGATTTTGCTCATAGATGGCACAAAGTTTTGGACATCTGCGAAATCTTAAGACTTAGCCAATATTTTTTCTGGCTAAAATATTGAGCTAGCCATTTTCAAAAATAGGCTCAAATCGATCTATTTACAACACTAAATACTTCAGAAAACTAATTCTGAAGAAAGAAAATAAGAAAAGCACCATTAAGCATTATATTTTGCGAACATTGTTTAAAATTAGCGCAAAAAAATAAATTATTGGTTTTCGAATATCATGATACAAATTATACGACACCACCTTAATTTTTAATTGAGCATCTAAAGCTTATTGACAATTGATCGAAAACAAAAAGGAGATCAAATTATAGATGTCAAACTTCAAGCTCATATATTGAATAAATAGAGCATTTCTTCCTAAAGATTTGTATAGCACTTTTAAAATGCACGGAAGAAAGCGACTGAAGCTTTCAAAAGTAAAAGTTCTATCGCTGGATTAATACGCCAAAAAAAATCTTTATGGCCCAAATCTTGATCAAATCATATTTATTCGTAACAATTATCATTTAGCTAAATTTGATTTTTTAATTGATTTATTTTTAAATTTATTACCAGAATGCAAGGTTTGACTCGGAAAGATTTAAGAAATTTATTAACAATGTTGAAACAAATTGCCCAAATAAAATATATAATAATACATTGAATTAAGTTAAATGCGCCGCCGACCACTGACAACCTAGAAAAAAAATGAGCCACTGCCGCTTTTTTATATTGAGTTAGACCTAATTTGGTAATTTCGGTCAAATGACCGATAGTTATATTAGTTTTTAAATAAATAAATGGATTTTAAGTTTAACTAGTTTACTTCAATTTAAAATTTATATTTAAAAATGGGAATTGTTCAGAAATCAGTAAGAATAGAGCCAAACCTCTATATTAAAAGGCACTCAAAAAAATGTTTATATTTTTTACATTTGCATTTATCTAATAAAATACGATTGTTATTATTTTGCTAAACTAAACGAAACATGTGAATTGTGGTTGGGGATTATTTTTCTTTAAAATCGAGATTTCTTACGGACAATCACGATTAAAAAAAAATTAGACGATATTTTTTTTTATAACTATTGTTTTAACTAGTGTGGTTAAACGGCTTAATTTAGCTGATTTTTAATAATGGTCAACTCAAAATTTTAGTCAAACTTCGAACAGAGAGCAGAAAGGTTTTGAACATCTATTGGCAAAATTTCGAGACTTAGATTTTGACAATAGCCATTTTTAAAATCGGTGAAATTGGAAGCTATTTGGCAACACTTAGTTCAACTATATATTTTACATACATGTATGTTTATTATTTAAAAAACTAAAAGAATATATATGGGGTAATGGCTAAAAATAGGCGAAGTGGACTAAATATACTGTCGCGCGACGAAATTCGCTAGACATTTATATATAAGTTATTTTCTGCTTTCTCTTAAGTTGTGTTATATTTCCATTATAATTTTTTATTCATAAGACATTCTTTAGGAAAAAAATTGCGTATAAGTATATTCGATAAATTGCATCAGATAAAATCGTGCTAAAATATAAGGAATGTGTCTAGCCTCTATGAATTATTTCTAAAATATAAGGAATATGTCTGGTCTCTATGAATTATTAAATTCTTTGGTGCGATTAAGAAAGACAAGATCGATCCCTTAACCAGGTCCAGTCGGCTATCACATTCATTTAATCGACCATACCCACATTGGAAAAAATAAATAAATTATATTTTTCTTTTTAAAACGATAAACAACTAACCGGAAATTGATTGGTCAAAAGAAATTATCATTATTTGATGAAAATAAAACCCTGAATATCGCCATAAAAAAGTCACCTCACCCATTCGTCTTAATTTTTTTAGAATAATTGCCATCGACTGTGAGGATACAAGTGTTAAATCTCGGGGAGGGGGTGGGGAGGTTAGCAAACCTAGTCGTTAAACCCATTTTATAACTTAATTACTTTTTATTTTAGAGATGGGATGGGGGCTAGTCTCGTTTGCTTAGGTGGAGTGGGTCTCAAGAGCTCTGCTTTATCCTTAATGAGCCAGCTTATTTTAAAGAATTTAAATCTTATTAATCGTAGCAAATGTTCTCAAGCCAGTAGCGTCACCAGGGGAAGCAGGGGCTCAAGTCCCCTCAAAATTTTGAATTCTTTTTTATACCACAAAAAAGTAGGTAATTAAAAATAATTTTAAAAAATTTTGAGCCTCCTGTGATTGTAAAACCTAAAGACGCCCCTGTCTCTAGTCCAAAATAAAAATGACCTTTATCTAATACTTTACAAGTACAGTAAAACCTGCATAATTTAGGTATCCAAATTTATGAAAACTTTTTACTTTCTGATAGTAGTTAATAGGTTTAATTGGGTCAAAAATTTAGTAAATTAGGGAGTTGCCCTAATTATCAAGAGCTCAAATTAGACAAAGCAAAATCTTTCTAGTATTATTGATTATTCCAAAAACTTTATGATTGTAAAAGCAAAATATTTTAATAAATTATTTTTTTAAAGAAAAAGAATTTCTACCAAATGTTATATTACATAGAAGTAATTTTTTAAATTCATAATTAAATATAAAAATAGTTATAATCTATTTAACTGAACCTTTTTTTAAAATTCGTTATATCTCTCCGTTACTGGGTAATATATGGAAAAGAATTTTACTGACTGAGAGGATGCCCCTTAACATTTATTATCATTAAACTGAAAATATATTTAGTAGTTAATTTGTTCTTCCACGTAACGAATGCCAGCGTCTGGTGACCATCTATCTTTTTCTAAATATTCCATATCAGATAAGATAGCTAAATAGATCAAACGGTACATTGATTTTTCTATAAACTAGATTGGATAATTCAAATAGAGCCATATATCAATGCAAGATCTGATAGGAATTCACATATTTCTAATCGGGTGGACAGCCCGTTAAATTTTGAACTGTTGTTAGATTCAGTTAAATTTTTTTGAAATGCATATAAAGGTCATAATTATTCCAAGCTGCCTTTACAATACGAAAACTACTTGACACCCATGCATCAAGTAGACTTCCAATCTTCAGAAACTAAATGCCCAATTTAGACTATTTTATCCGAAGCCTATCTGATTTGTTAAATTGTCCATATAAACTATATACCATGTCAATAAAGGCTTTAAAGTGATAATACTGGTAACACTTTTTAAGCATTGGTGACCTCTAATTCTAAACTGTATTTTAATAATTCCAAGGTATAATCGTTGGCGTTGCCGTACCAAATTTCTTCCCATTCATGACACTGGCGCCATCGCTAATGAAAGAAATCTAATTTTTAAATTTTTGCAAATAATCTTCAGAAAACCCGATGGATATAATTTGGAATTTCTTTCAACTTTATTAAACATGACTAACAAAACTGATATAATGTCACTTCCCTTTTTCTATTGGATCTCTTATTTTTTGAAATTAATTAAAGGGTTAGTTTTTGGAATTAAAAATGTAAAATTACATTAATATATCACAAATTTATAACTGTTTATTATATAATTTCATTCTATCAAAGTGAGTGACAATAATTGTGTGATAAATTTAATCACAAGAAAGTATTTCAACAGTAAATAAACTTTTGGTCAATTGACCAAAAATATAAATCCCCCAAAGAATTGGTGTCTGGAGTGGAAAACACGAGAATTTTTCTCTAAACTGCCATAAAAAGATCAACAGGTTTTAGATATGAATTGGGTTTATCTATCCCCGTCTCGGTTTTTTTAAATTTAAATAATTTTGGCTTTACTAATTGATATAATTTAAATTTATTTAATCTTTGATAATATAAGTGTCAACCCTGAGCGAAACAAATGATTCGGTTATGACGCAGCATTTTGCCAAAATTCACGAACCTAACCGACCACAAAGAAGTGAAGTCATAAATGTCCAACAAATTAAAACTCCCGAGGGCAATATAGGAAGCACTAGGACAAGCTCTACTACAACCAAGAAAGGTTAGTTATAATTTACAAATTTTTATTTTCCTTATTTTTTAAATTTTACGTTTATTTACTCTTTTTATAAGGTCAGTTTTAGTTTATAAATTTATTATCTTGTTTTTTTAGATCAAAATGGGCACACCCAGTCCATAAAATTCACCGAAAAAGAAATCTTTGACCCTTCTCAAAATGGGCATTCTTTAACAGAAGAAAATGATAATTCTTTTACTCAAAGTAAAATTTTTTAAATAAGTATGATGATACTTGATAAGAAATAAAGTTCTTCAAAAACGTTATTTAACTAAGATTATATAACTTAATCCATTAACTTTTTCAATATAATTCAACTGCTCTTATTGTTTCCAAAAATTCGCTTTTCGAATTATGTTTTTTTATTAAACATCATATTGCCTTTTTTAAAACTATAATTTAGGCATTTCCACAATTAAATACATTTGCAAAATAACTACTGAATGATTGAGACAAGCCATTTATATAAGTTCAATAGTGTGCCGTGTAACTATTTTTTAAAAATTATAAAATTCAGTTTTATGCCTCAATATTTAGTATTTTAAAATTAAAAAAGGCTGGCCCTGGTTCCTTCAACGCTGTCAATGTTAAAAAAATGGAATTTGATTGACATTGAAAGCGTCACAGTTAAATGAAAAATATTACAGAACGGTCTCATATTAAAATCAAAGAGACAAGCCCATACCAAGCACAAAATTTTATTAAATTTTTTTAAAAAAATATTATTTTAACAAAATCCAAGCTTTAAAAAATATATAACTATTAACCAGTTGGAAAATCATATAATGGAACTTTTGATATTTATTTATTGCTCATTCAATTTTTCTTTGAAACAAAATTATAAGATATAGCGTAAATTACTCAAAGAAATTATCAAAAATAATATTCCAGGCTGGGCCAAAATATTTTTTAAAAAAATACCGGGCTGGTCATAGAATTAATTTTTATTCAAATCCCGGAAAGTGTAATTGGAATCCCTATCACTGGAGGTCTCTATATTAAATTTATTAATATAATGTTTAGCAAAACAGATACTCATATTGTAAATATGACCCACCATCTTCGAGAGGATTTTACAAATTTATTAACTATCAATTTCTCGTAAATACAAAGACATATATTTTAAAATCAAACTAAAATGATTTTATTTAAAAATAACTTCATTTTAAAATGAATAAATTAGATACAGGATCGGAGTTAGCAAAAAAATTGTCTCAGTTAGGCAGCAGTGGCAAGATTACAGTTTCATCGAAAATCTTCAAAGATGGTGAAGTCACTACTATAACAAAGACCACTAATTTCGGTAAATTATTAATTTAATTAAATTTGAATCATTTCTTTTTAAAACATCTTCATGACTGGTAAAAGTGCAATTTCATGTTGTCAGAAGTTTTAATTATATGATAATTGTATTTAAAATTAGTTTAAACCTGAAAGAATATCATAATATTGATTTTTTTGAGAAGATTTGTTGTCACTAATTTCCATTAAATAACTGACTGACAAATAAAATACCTAAAAAAAATTTAATAACAAAATGTAACGCTTAAAACGGGGACATTTAAAGTTACCTATTTTTAAAACATTTTAAATAAATTCCTAAAATTGGGGTATTGTCAGAAGTTTTCTCTCTTATATTTATTTCCATTACATATTTAATTTCCCAATTCAAAATAAATATTATTAAAAAATTCCCAACCACATCAAAAATAATTAATAGCCCAGAATATAAGGTAAAATTTTCAATCTCATTTAAATAAAAATAAAATGGCCAGTGATTGTAGAATATAAATACAATTTGTTTATCAATTCAATAAAAAGCAATTGAGATATTACTTTGAACTAATAAGACTTATTTGTACCAAAAGAATACAATAATTTTTAAAAATGCAATTAATTTTACTTAGTTATAAATAGTAAGGAGATAAGAATAATTGATTAAAGAAAAGAAATCGAGGATATAATTTCCTATTTAACTGGTAGGGGGTTAATTTAACAAAGAGGGGAAAAATAAATGATTAATTGATAAATTGAGAAGGCCGAAATTTTAAGAGTGAGGAAATAAATGATCATATTGATTGAGGAGGCCGATAGCGGTTATTCAAAAAAGTGAAGAGATAAATGATTAATGGATTAACAATAAATGCAAGGGCAGCTTGTTTTGTCCTACAATTATTGGGGTCCCAACTGGTTGTTTAAAAAACGGAACCGCATACTAATGGAAGTTCAGAGAGTCGTGTTCAAGGGTAGACATGCCCTGGGCGCCTGGAATATCGAAAAGGGGAACGAATGATGAGTATGGGGCTAAATGGGAGATCGCAAACTAACAGTGGTCGCCCCATGCCTTCCATAATCAAGAGAAGTAGCTATCAGAAATGACACCTGGGCAAAATAATAGCGAATAACAAGTCATATGATGACCAATGGGGAAATTTTTTTAAAATATTTTGTTCATATTTGACACCATTTTGTTTCACGTCATTCAACGACTAATCACTGCTGTGACACCTCCTTTATATTAGTCCAAGAAAGAGATCCCAGATCTCGTCTGATCCTGGACATGGGGTGGACTCAAAACTGGCGGTTTCAGTGTCAACTACTGCCATTGGTGCGATATGTCCGTCCTTCTTAACAACAACTCAATCGACCCCAAGATTGGTAACGGTCTTTTTCAGCCGTCCCGGTCTCAGCTCTATACTCATCCGCTCTCTCTTGGTGCCCCTGTTTCTCGCTGCTTGTATTTACCGGGATCATCGAAAACGTTTTCCTAACCTCGATAGTTTAACCACATAAGTCAATTACCTTCACCACGTGAGATCCTATTCGTAGCAACGGACAAGCCAGCCCCAACATTTTCGACAGGTTCTTATTGTACCATCCCCTCATCTCTACCGTTTGGGTCCCACAGCTGATGAACTGTTCGGCCACTGCTTTGCATCTCGAAACCGTAACTCATGCGGATCCCCCACATCCAAAACCATCCGTACCGCCACTTAATGTTTCTAGATCACCCTCATTCATAAAGAGCACATAAAGATAATCGCCATCATCCTTTCCTCAAACCAACACAGCACCTTCAAACATCCCCTAGTGTACACTATTCTTTAAACTTATATCAGATTTTCACATCCATTTTTCTTAAAATCTTTAGACTTCTATCGCCCTCTATTAAAATCAAATAATCATTTAATTCTCCACTTATTCATACTGGTTAAAAGATAAGTAAAAAATGTAATAGATTAAAAGAAAAAATGAGTTCATTTCGAGTAATTGATAGTTAAGAAATATAAAATATGTCCGACATTTATTCCTTCTTTGAATAAAATATTTAACACTTTTAGAATCGGCGATTTTAGATTGTTTATTTCCTTCCTGTGTTTGCAGTAAGTGGAGATAATTATTAATTATCACTATATTATATTGATTTTTAAAATACCAAAAAAAATATTAAAAAAGGTCCCAAGTCCGAGAAAACTAACGATGCCATAAAATCGGTCACACAAATGTAATTTTTTTTTATAATTTATAAATCTGATATATTTGTATGTGTAATAATAATTAATGTTAGTTTCTTTATGTAAGTATTAATATGAAATTTAAAAAAAATGGGCACTTCTATAAAACATAACTCTTATAAGTTTAAAGCGGTCAATCTTGATTTTTAAGTATAAAACTGAATCAACATTATTTTTTAAGAATTGAACAATTATTGAACCTGAACTAAACCGATAACACGTTTAGACCACTAATTAGAAAAATCAAATAAATTTATAAAATCTTACTTTTTTTAAATATTAGATAAAAATGGTTTGAGCTAATATTTTGACTCTTGGTTTGTTTCATTTTGTATACTCTTACATAAAAATTCCTTTTTAGATTTAAAACATATTAATACGTATTATATTCATTTTTTTTTATTTTGTCAAATTGTGTATTTTTAAAAATGATTATATACATTTCGAAAAGAAATGGTACAGCTGGCAATGTCTCTACATCTCGTTTATTACATTCTCCTAGTTCAATCAAAGATCTCCTTCTTAAATGGTGCAGGGATAAAACAGTTGGTTATAAGGTTCATTCTAATTATATTTTTTTAAAGTGCCAAGTAACATTTTTGCGAAGATATTTAGTTACTTTATAAAATTTTTGTATATATCTCATTTATTATATTTATATCCCAAATTTAAAATTACTTTACAATATCTCATTTGTATCAAAGGGTTCCTGTAAAAAGTTTATTTGGTCTAAAAAGCATATTTTTGAAGACCAAGCATGACTTTTTTGATACCAATTTTGCAAATAGTTTATTGTAAAATCAGATATAAATTTGTTAAAGTTCAAACTTTTATCAAAATAAATTATATTTTTTTAGTTCAATTATTTCATTTATAAGCATCTAAATCTTGTTGATTAAAATTATTTTTGCATAATAAAAAAAATATATTAATAATAAGTTATAATAAATAATTCATAAAATAACTTGCTGTAATGAGTTACTTTTGAAATATAGTAAACTAGTACCTCTTAAAGGTAACTTTAAACAACACTAATTCTATTATAATATTAATTTTTTTTCGTTCCTTGAAAAACGTTTAGGCAAGGTAGAGATGTAAAGGTAGGGAAAGTGTAGGGAAATTTCCCGAATTTTCCCTTAATATAAATATATTATTTATTTGCAAAAATTATGATTTATATTTTATAAAATATAATATTTTATTTCAATAATTATGATTTATAATTTAATTTATAAATAATTTTTATTTTCCTCGTGAGTCTTTAAACTTATTTTTTTATTAGTGCAAGTCCTCGCTTAATATAAATGGTTTAATGAATAAATTAACCATTTTTCTAAGGCTCATGGTCGACGAAAAAATGGATGTGATCGCGATACAGGAGACCCACTCAAAAGATAATAATATGGCTACCTTTAATAACTTTGAAATGTATAGTTCTGGCACCACTTCCAATAATTGGTCGGGGGTTGCTTTCTTTATCAGTAAAAGATTATGCAAATACGTGGATAAATTTGTGCCCATTTCGGAGAGATGCTGTTTACTATACCTGAATACCTGCTTCAGGCAAACAATCTTAGTTAATGTCTATGCCCCGCCTAGAAGAAACGAACGGCTCGCATTCCTTGATGACCTCGAAAACATTGTAAACTCTCTTCCTAGGAGTCGTAATTTGATAATCCTTGGGGATTTAAATACTAGGATCGGAAAAGATGACTCCTTTATTAGAGATGGGGTAAATTGGGAATGCAACTCTCTCTCAATTAAACAGTGATGACAGCAGAAAGTTATTGGAGATGTGCAGGAGTATAAACCTCAAGGTCGAAAATACTTTCTTTTCACACAGCGAATTAAACACCCTAACCTTTAGTAGAAATAATATCAAGTCTCAGATCGATTTTATCATCTCGAACATCCATAGCTGGTTCATCGATGTAAAAGTAATGCCAAATATTAATATTTCTGATCATAAATTAATCAGAGCCAGTATTACTGTGAAAAATTTATGGGGAAACTCTCGGCGTCCTTCTCTTCAACCCCAGCCGAGATACCTGTCCTGGAAGAGAAATGCAACACACCTGCAACGCCCTGCAGTCAAACTACAGCTCGATCTATTCTTAAATGATAGGGAGGCAACTTTCTTATCCTCGTCGGAGTCTCAATCTGTCGAAGAATGTTGGGCGTCTTTCAAAAACGACTTGTTTGATGCCTACAATCATCTCCCTAACATCAACATTTCTCCACCAAGACAGGAATGGCTATCCGATGACACCATTCGCATGATAGCTCAACTCAAGTTACGAGGTGAGAGCGATGGTCACTTATGGACCTCAATTCATAGACTCCTAAGGAGAGATAGAAGGATCTTTATTGCTAAAAAGGCTTTTGAGATAGACAGGGATATGAGGGAAAATAGAACTTTCGACGCCTACAAGAAACTAAATTATTTTTGTAAAGCCAAAGTGTTCAAGACACTTCCAACTATAAGACTGGATAATAATAGGTTAATTACTGACCCCGACGAACAGATAGCGTTATGGCTTGACCACTATATGGGAGTCTTTGATTCTAGGAGGCCTACCTTAATCCCATCCACTAGTCAAAATGTTGGACAATTGGACGCAAACTTTTCATTGGCTGAAATTGTGGCCGCTATTAAGAAGCTTAGGAATAATAAATTTCCGGGTACAGATAACATTACAGGAGAACATCTGAAAGCAGCTCCCTTAACGATCTCTCGGTTCTTACTTCCTTTGTTTAACAAGATATGGTTGACTGGGATGATGCCAGCGGATTGGAATAAGACTATCTTTTGCAACTTCCCGAAAATTCCAAATCCATCTAAATTCAAGGATTATAGAGCCATCGCTCTCACGTCTATTGCATCAAAAGTTTTTATGGTTCTTTTAAAAAATCGCATTCTTTCCTCTACACCAAACCTTTTGTCTAAATACATTTGTGCTTACCGTCCAGGTAGAAATATAAACGAACCAATATTAGCTTTAAAGATTATAATGCAGAAATGTCAGAAGTATAAATTACCTTTTTACTTTATTTTTATCGACTTTAAACGTGCTTTTGATAATGTTAACCATGATGCGCTTTGGAAGATTTTAACCGAATGTGGCATTGACTCTAATATTATAAGGATCCTTAAAACACATTATAGTAGTCTTTTTGCCTCCTTAAAAATCAATAATAAGGTTTCTCCATCTTTTAGGACAAAAATAGGGGTAAAACAAGGATGTGTTCTTTCCCCGCTTTTGTTTAATATACTTATGAATAAAATCATAGTAGATACGCTGGCTACTGCGAATCTCTTAGAATTAAGTTCCAGTCAGTCTTTTTTCTTGGAAAATAGGGTGATATCTTATGCTGACGACATAGTTTTGATAACAAAAAGTTTGGAAGAAACCCAAAATTTGATCGCTATATTAAACTCCTTTAGTCTTAAGGTTGGCTTGGATATTAACTTTGATAAAACAGTGATAATGCCCTCGTCCCAGGCGCCTCTTTTGAATAATTTGGTGGTGGGGGGAAAGTTGGTTAAGGTGGTAGAATCTTTTAAATATCTAGGTGTAACCATTGACAATAAAGGTAGTTGTAAAGAAGAACTAAAAATTCGTTTACAAAATGCTAGGGCGGCTTTTTATAAATTTTTTAAACTGTGGAAAGCTAGAGAGATATCCGTTTTCACAAGACTCTGTATTTTCAACTCAACCATCATCCCGATTCTCTTTTATGGCGGTGATACATGGGAGATTACCAAGACCGAAACTAGGAAATTACAAACGTTTGTAAATAAATGCCTTAGAATAATAAATGGAATCTTCTACCCTAATATTATCTCAAATGAAAATCTTTGGAAGAAGTCTAACCATACCCAGGTTCACGTGTCTTTAAAAAAGAAACGTCTTACTTTCTTTGCCCATATTTTAAGAAATCATAGCAACAATAGCCTTGTTATTGATGCCATTAATTGGTTATACTCCTTTAATGGGAAAACATATTGCAAATATAAGACATTATGGTTCTACAGAGCCTTGAAGGACATAATGGATCTTAACTTAAATTTGAAGCAATTCCTAAGGCTAAATAAAAACAAAAAATCTATAAAAAAACTACTAAAAATTAAATCGAACTACCTAAACCTCTCATAATTTTTTTTTTCTGTATTTTTCAGGTTATTTAATTTCTTCATCTCTCAATTTTACCTCTTGATTTTGTCTTTCACCTTTTCTGTGAATTACTTACTTCACTGACTTCAGCTTTTATTTATCTTATTTTCTGAAAAAACTGCATGGTTAACATTATAAATAGCTCTGTTATAATTCACAAATGTAAAGCAGAAGGGGGTTTTTTACTTAGTTTTTCTGCATGATTATTTTTCTAAATTAATTTTTGGATCCAGTATTTTCTTTTCTTGGCCTGTATATACTTATGTATTTTGGTGTGGGTGATATGCTTTTTTTCCATGCTATAGGATGTGATGGCTATAGCTCAATAAGCCTTAAATTTCTGTGGTCTTAGTTTTTTGGGTAGTTACTTAGGTAGGATTTTGATCCATCCCACTGCAGTAGTTCCGCTCTCCCATATTCTATTAAATGAGGGCAAATAGGTAGCGATATTGTTATAGATGCTATTTATTTTTTTGGTTTTTCTGCTGTGATATTATCTGGCCCTGGAGCTTTGCTTTTTCTTAGTGTTTTTTTTTCTTAGTCTTTTGTTATTTCATTTATGGAGAAACCAGTCGACAGGGGGGTGGCGAGGTTTGTAAATATGTTTTGTTGGTAGAGTCTTTCCGTGAGTGATAGACTATCATATAACAATCAAGCCAAAATGCCTTTTGTTAATCCTCTGGCCAACAATTACTTTTCCATTTCCTAAAACTTACGGAGCTGGTTCCTATTTCTGCGTCATAGTTTCCTTTCTCTCATATCTTTATCATTATCAAAGACCTTTTTCGCTATATAATCTATCTATCACTCCATAGAGTATTTTGTTTCTCTGGAAAAAGGAAAAAATAACCGTTTGTTGTGTGGTGTTCGTTGCTGGATAGTCATAAACCGATTACTGACTAGTTTTTGCCTATTCACTGGAATTTTCACCTATTTTAAACAATTTGTGGTAAACCCATTTTAGCTTTTCCTTATTTTCATGAATAAATTCTAATCTCAATTGATATGAACACATTCTCAATTATTTGTTAGTAACTATTAAGGCTTACATTAGATGTTAAACTTAAAATTAGCCACCACCCACCCTTAAAGTAATTAAATTATTTAGGCAGTTCATGGGTATAGGCTTTTGTTTTGCCCATTTCTTTTGTTGATTAGCCTATAGACGTTTAAGCGACAGTTCTCGGACTGTTGCGCGTACAAGTACGTGCGGCTTGCCCACAAACGTGTGAAGGGCTCCTCATTTTTTTCTCCCCTAAATTAACTATCCAGTTTGATGGATTTTTGAGGAAAACCTAGCGTAGCTCTGTTGTATCCACAACCAGAGGGCGAAAACGCTTTTATCACGTATCACGTATCACGTATCATTGAGTGCAATTTTTCAAATCTATAATTTTTAAAGTACAAAAATAAAGGTAAAATGTTTCACATTATATTCTCATACATAATATTAATGTGATATATTATAGAATTATTAATAATTAATGATATATTTAGATTTGATATATAATAGTGCGCACAAATTGAGCGTTTGCAGTATGTTTGTTAATGTAACGCATCTTTGTTTAGATTGAAAGCAGTATGTTTTTTATTAAAGTTTTTTTTATAATTTCTTAAACAAAAAGAGTTTATTTCTTACCTTAAGGTAAAATAAGATTTGTTTATTTAGATTTCCTAAGAATTTATGATTCAATCAGGGTTTTCAAATTTTTTTGTGGCCTTGGATGCAAAACATATGTATATAAATGTTTCTTTGTTTATCCTACCTTAATTTATATATTTATAATAATCTATATATTTTAATAAAAATGTGAAATAAATTTTGAATAGTTTGCATATTTATATATTTTATATTTTTTTCAAGACACTAGATATAAAAATAAATAGATTTAGAAATATTGCTAATCAAATTTCAAATTTATGATATAATTTGATTAAATCTATCTAATAATTGCTAAATAAATTTTAAATAGTTGCTTATTTATATATATTTTATAAAATAATTTTAATTACATTTTTCAATCTTTTATTATGAAAATGTACACCATAATAAGAGTATTAAATGTCTTATTTAATAAAATAATTTTAATTATATTTTTCAAAAATGGACGCTAGAATATGGAATAATAATTCAATTTTCATAGATATAATTTCATTAAATAATGAGGTTTGATTTGCAGGTATATCTGTTGAATTTGGAGGCCACAATTCAATTTTCCATTAAAGTATAATACAATGGAGATACTTCATTTTTGAAAAAATATTTGTTTGATTTATATTTTATAGAGAAACATTCTATAATAATGTTAAATTTATAGATAAATATATATTTTACTAGCTCTCAAGGCACCCTTTCCAAAAGAGTCAATATATCCAACAATGCATTTAATTTTAACCCACTTGCCTTCCTTTGGTATAATTTCTTTAGGACTAAAACTATCCTCTATTGTTGGCTCCATGAATTTAATGTAATCATACCATCTGTATGAGAGTTTAGAGCCAGAAGCTCCTGAAACCTTGCACAATTATCTTGGTCTTTAAAGTTTTGCAACTTCTTCTTTATGCATGCTACAATTGTATCATGTAATGGAAATTCCATCCCCAAGCTATTAAAAATATAATTTATCATTATTTATATATATTTACCTTAAACTACTGGTTAATAAACCATCTAATACTAATATAGAATTCTTATGGTCTGGACGCTACTGGCTTCAGACCATTTGTTGAGTTTCCAGTAAGGTACAAATTTTTTTAGTAACCTTATCACCCCTTCTAAAATTATAATATGTATCCTAAAATTATATAAATATAAATTCCAAAATTATATAAATAAGTATTTCTAAAATTATATAAATATCAATTAATATATTCTAAATTATATAATATCAATTAATATATGAAATAAATTATACCTACAATTTGTATCCATTTTTAAATTTTAGCGCAAAATTAAAAAAGCATAGAAAAAATCTAACCAGTTTGCTTTTTTATTAACGTTTGCCGTAAAAAAATCCAAGCTGCACTCTACCATATTAGCTTTTAAAACGGAGAGTTGCAACGCTCAATTTGTGCGCACTATAAGTATCATTTTATGTTAATCATACTATATAACTGATATAATGATTTATGATGTTTAATATATTTTAATCATACTATATAACTGGTATAATGATTTATTGATGTTTAATTTAAATTAATATGATTGCAATATTTTATAGATGCCTCGGAAATCTTCCAATATCTGGAAACATTTTATTAAAGATAGAGCTAATAACAAGAAAGGATATATATCAATATGCAAAAATTGTCAATTAACATATAATTTCCCAAATTCAACAAAGATGTCTCAGCATATCAAAAAATGTCAAGTGTATATTAACAGTTTACAATTTAATGAAGTTGATCGTGATAATAATAATTCTACTGAAGAGGATGTTGTAGTATGTTTATCAGATTCCAGTAATCCTAATAAAATTATATCCCAAAAAAACATAAATAAAACCATTCTAAATACTTTTAAAGAAAATACCAATAATTTTAATGCTGGCACATCTAAAATTAAAAATTTTTCCGACACTATAACCGAACAAAATCAAACGCAACGTGACAGTGCTTTGGCATTGGCTATTTTTATGTCAAATTGCCCTTTTAATTTAGTTGAAAATAAATATTTCATCAATTTTTTAAAATTAATGCGTCCAGCCTATAAAATTCCTTCTAGACATGCAATTAGTAAAACATTACTAGATTTTGAATACATTAAAGTGAAAAATATTATCAACAATAAATTCAATAAAGATTTTACTCTCATAAGCGATGGCTGGACAAATATTCGCGGAGAGTCCATTATTAATTTTATAATAATAACTCCAGAACCAATTTTTTTTAAATCCATTGACACAGGTTCCAGTGCTCACACTGGTGAATATATCGCATCTGAGTTGATCAAGGTAATAGAAGAAATTGGTTGTCAAAAATTTATCTCACTAGTAACTGATAATGCAAAGAATATGAAAAAGACCTGGAGTCTTGTTAAGGCAAAATATAATTATATTGAATGCTTTGTATGTGCCGCACATGGGTTGAATCTGCTTATTAAAGATTTATGCCAAATACCTTTTATTGAAAAGATCATCAAAAAAACCAAGCAAATAATTAAATATATAAAATTTCATGGTATTTTATTAGCAACTTTTAAAGAAAGGCAAATATTGAAAGGATATAAATCTTCCTTAAAAATTCCAAGTCCGACAAGATGGGGAGGTTTTGTTATAATGTTGCAAAGTGTTGTGAAAAATAAGGAAGTTTTGCAAGAAATTGCAATTTCTAGTTTATTTACAAACAAACAAAGAAGGCTTATTATATTAGACAAAGAAGGATACTGGGATAAATTAGAGTCTGTACTGACCTTTTTGGAATTTATTTATAAGAAAATTATATTTGTAGAATCGGATTCAGCGGTATTATCTGACGTTCCAGAAATATTTTGGGACATAAAAGATAAACTCAATTCATCAACTTTTATTTTTAATGAAAATGATTTCAAAAGTGTTAAGATGCATATTAAAAAACGAAAGAAATTTTGTTGCCGAGAATATCATTATGCAACAAATCTTCTGGATCCTCGATATTATGGTGTGAAATTAACAGACCGTGAATTAACAGCAGCTTTAAATATAATAAATATTATTTCAGGCCAAATTAATTGCGATATTGGAAAAATTATGGGTAATTTAGCAGAATATCGTTCAAAACAAGGTTTCTATAAAGGAGCTGGCATATGGGAGAGCTCAATCCATACCAAACCACTCATATGGTGGAAAGGGTTGTGTACAAATCAACCCCTTTGTCAAGTGGCAGTAAGATGTCTTTCGATACCACCCTCAAGTGCCTCGTCAGAAAGAGTCTGGTCAGCATTTGGAAAAATTCATTCAAAAACGAGAAATAGAATAAAGAATGAAAGAGTCGAAAAATTAATATCAATAAGGCATAACATACATTTAAAGGATCATACAAGTACATCAAGTTCGGGATATCATCAAAAGAGTTCAGATTCCGATTTATCAATATCAAGTGATAATGATGATATTTCAATTTCATCCCATGAAGATATTGATGCTATTTCATTAGCATCCCAAGAATTTTAAATGTAATATCTGATACATGCTTTTTGTAATTAATAAAGTTATTCAAAAAATGATGTTTATAGTGTATTTATTTTTGTCTTTATTGTTTAATTATATTATTTTCCCTTAGTTCCCCAAATTTAATAAAGTTATTCCATAAAAAAAATTGAAAGGTTTAAAGTATATTTTATGGTTATTTTTTAATTTTCCGATATTTCCCTTTTTCCCCAATTTTCCCGGGGAAATTTCCCCTGAACCAATTTTCCCGGGAATTTTACATCTATAGGCAAGCTATACTTCATTTCAGTATATTTATAATTAATATCGTTCAATTTTTATGTTCATTTAGTTTTAAGTAATTATAAATTAATTTAAGTCAAAATGAGAGAAGTAACATGGGTAAGATAAAACTAACTAATAAAAGTTATTTATATATAAATAAATTGAAAACTTTTAGAGGGCAGTGAGGCTATCAGAGATTATCAGGAGCTTGAAATATAACAAATAAGGATAATATTTTTAGTCCATTTTATTTAAAAATATACTAACAAGTCTTGCATTGCACTGACCTATCCTAATGCGATCGAGCTGGGGTTTGGATTTCAAAATTTTCATTTGAGTCTCGAATCTCAACATAGCCCTAATATTATTAATTTGTCGAATTAATGATCAAAAGTGTTATACCTTACCCTATATAAAAATGTATATAACTTTTTATATATTTAATTATTAGAACGTAGATATCACCAATTTTTCTCGTTGTTGGGCTAATGGTTTAGCCTTTTGCGCTCTCATTCATAGCTACTACCCCGATGCATTCGAATTTCAGGAACTCTCACCGACAAATAGGAGGAATAACTTGGAAATCGCTTTTAAAACTGCCGAGTATATAAATATAATTTTTATTCTTTCCAGCGGTATTGCAGCTCTCCTATTTTTTCAAATATTAAAGCCTGTTTACATATTAAAAAAAATTAAATAACATGCACAAAATAAATCTAGATAGAAGCTTATCACTTAAATATTTAGTAACAAAATGACTATGGTAATGCCATAAAAAAATTATATTGTGTTGTAAAAAATATAATTATTTACAAAAAAAATTAAATATACTTTTCCTTTCTTTTCTATCGTTTTTCTTCTCTTAATTTATCTATTTTTGTATTACCATAAGTATGTATATACTATATCTAAATCAATTTTAAATTTTATTATATATTTTAGAGAAAAGGCTGACATCTATCCACTACTAGAAGTCGAAGATATGATAGAAATGAAGGATCACCCTGATTGGAAATGTATTTTTACTTATGTTCAATCGCTTTACAAAGGCCTCAGGGATAAGAAATGCCTCAATCCTTACGACCCCCGCACTCAAATGGATTCTATAGATGACAAAAATGAACTTATTTTATAATAAAATTTAATCGATTTTTTTTCATAATGTCCACCGGTTAAAAAAAACTTGATTTGATTAATATATTTCAATTTATATTATAGAAGACTAACCCAATCGTAACTGATGCAACATGTGGGACAAAAATTTAATAAAGCAAAATATATAAATTAAATAATTATGAAAATAAATATTTTAATTCAAATGATTATAAAATTCTTCAAAAAGAATTATAAATTTTGATAATTTATTTAGATTGATTTTCGTTTTATTAATTTCATAATTGTTCCACTCTTATTCCGAGAGTTTATATTTTTTTCTTAAATGTGTCCGGTTTATATAAACTTTTTATACAGCAAAATTTAGTAATTACTATACATAAAATTTTAATTATTTTTGTAATCTCATTTATCATATACATTTTTTTACAATTAATTTAAATAATGCTTTTTGTACATTAATTTTTTTTAACCATTTTATTCTCTCTTCTAAATTAATATATGCATTTTACATTTATACATATTATATATCATTTCTAAAATTTCTACCATAATTTTCGTTAAAATAAAAGTATCTCAATGTCAATTTGCCATGCAATGAAATTAAAAAGTTAATAACTATTAAAAATCAGTAGTAAACTAATATGGTCATGGAAGGGATTCCGTATGATTACTTAGAAATAACTATTGATAGAGAAGATCAATTCTTAAATGTTACACCTCCGCAGGGAAAGCATACACCACAATGTTTTTTATTTCGCAATGTGTAGAACAAAATATGCCAACTAATTCAATATTACTAATATTATCTAATAATTTAAAAAAAATAAGACAATTTCATTTAAAAATAATAAAATATCTAATATATTTTTGTCAGCGGGAAAGAAGTCACAAATAAATAATTTTGGATATAATATATTAACATTGTATCAATCTTTTAAAAAAAAATAATATAAATTCTGCAGTTCTAATGTAGCCACGTGTAATATAAATTATTTTCTTATAAATGAATAGCGGATTAAGACTGTATTAGATGATCCAAGATGGTATAATTTGAGGAAGGGGACAAGTTTTAAAAAGATTAATTCACATTATACATTAATAATAAGCATTAACAATTTAAATAAATAATAGATTGGCAAATAATAACGATATAAATTAATCTTTAAATTTAAAATAAAAGAATATACCAAAGGCCAAGGAAAAAACTTAAAATTAAGAAGTATAGCATTTTAAGGGTTCAAATTCAACCGTACACACTTTCATCACTGTAGGCTATATACAAGAAGCTATCTTCCTCGTGATGTTCCTTTAGGAATAAAATAAAACAGAAATAAATAGTATATATAAATTTATAAAAATATGGGGTAGGAGATATATTTACAAAAAAGTAATATTATTTATTTCGGATAATTTACAGTTTATAAAATAACCTTTGGCGATATTTATATTATTATTTTACAATATTTAAATATGATTAATTATCTAAAAAATATATATATAACGAAAAAGTATAATGGCGCAACACAAGGTAGAATTATTATTTTTATATGTATATAGGTTAGCGTCAATATGTTATTATTTAAACTGTAGATCATTTTTTAAATGATAAAGATATAATTTTGCGCGAAATGTATTCCAACATAAAATCCTACTTAATGATTTTTATCAGTTTTTTAATAGATCTTTATAATATAAATTACAAATGACTCAAATAGCAAAAAGAATAAGTATATTTGTTAAAAAAAGTGTCATGTCTCATATGTCCAATATTACAACTTGCATTAGTATAATTGTAAGATTGTAATGGTAAAAAAAAGATTTTACTGAAATAAGAAAATTATTATTTATTTCCAGGGAGCTTTTTCGCCATTTACTATAAATAAATCAGCGCTAACTAAGCTCAAGATATAGGCATAAAAGAAATTTAGGATGGAATGACAAGAAAAAATAATAATAAATCTAATGAAGGTCAATGTATTTGTGTTTAACCTGATAAAGCTTGGCCATGGTTGCCGAAGTTGGGGGAATGGAATCGTTGACGAAGAAGAAGAGGGCGTCTTCTGGTCTGAGCTGAATGCGTTTACGAATCAAAAAGTAGAATTGACCGACAGTGAGTTCTCCCGGTACCAAGTATTTTTTCTTGTCCAATTCCGGAATTCTGGCCTTAGGGGCACGTTCTACTATGACCTATACGATATTAATCATTAAAAATATTTAATTAGTAATAATTTGACGTGCTTTTATCAATGGCTGGAGCCTGTTCAGGAGACGCGTTTAAGGTCGCCGAGAGAGGAGACTCCACATTCAAATGTAAGAAAGGATTGAGCAATATTCAAATAACAAATAACACAAAAATAAGTCCTTACGAGTTTTTTTAAAAATATTTCTATTGCAAATATTCATCAATCTTTTTAATACCATAAAAAATATGGGATATTTTATGGCAAAATATAGTCGATTATATAAACTGGCTTATCACCTTAATTTAAAACTGGTTATAAAAGGCCGTCATCGTTCGCTCTTTCCAAAGTACTAATGTAAGCGGAAATAGTTTACTTAATATTAGCTTATCAAACGAAATATGATTAAAATTTCTAAGCTCATCTTAGACTAAAAAGGCTATGAAGATCTCAATAGAAAAAAAAAATTTCAGTCACCGTAGAGTTCATTATAACTTAACGAAGTTGCTATAATCAAAATTGAGAAACATTATAAAAATTTTTAAATTCGTGGGAGCGTAAATCAAAAACGCCAAAAAGGTAAATAAACCATATCTATATTCTCCTCCCCAATATTTACTATAATCATGTTAAAGAATAAATTATAAAAATGGAGAAAAAACAAAAATATTACCAATCGATAAAAGAAATATTTTAAAATGTCAAATAACTCTTTTTAAAATGTATCGAAAAAGAAATACAAAATAAACTTTTAGCCTTTTACTCTAAAATTATTTCCAAACCGTAGGATTTTCAAAATGGTGTCGCCATTTTTTATCATTATTTAGTGGAGGAAAATAATCTTCCCAAGTAGATAAATTCACTCTCCTACTGATGGAGTTGATTTCCAATTTGAAAAAAGGAAAAATATTCTTATTAGGCGAGAATACCTTTTTCTTAACATGTCACCGAATAAAAATTTACAGCTTACAAACTTTTAAGTTATTCCTGTGTGCGATCAAAATATAATGCCAAAATATTTGTTGCACCCAGTCAATAAATAATTTAACTAAGCTGTAGTACAAAGTTTTAAGGAAGATGTGTTGTGATGGTGATCTAATTTCAAAATTTCCCTATTTCGAAGGATGTGTATTTGATAAGTTTTAAAAACCGAAAAGGTTAAAGTTAAAATTAACTAATCTGAGCATCTCACCATTATAACATTTGTGGTGGCAATCGTAATATACGTAAAAACATTTAGCATATATCGGTTGTCATGTTCATTTGTATAATATTCATTTTAAGTTCAAAATGTGGTAAATTAAAAAGTGATAAATATTTTACTTATATCTTATTGACACAATATTTTATTTATATTTTCTTAACAAAATATTATTTTTTCAAAATTTTAATAAATTTAAAAGGAATCATATATATTCCGATAGAATTTCAGGTCTGAATATTAATTAGTTTTTGAGATATAATATTTATTTAATGTTATTTTAAAAAAAAATTCTCAGATGACAGTAAATTTTATTAATATAAAGGTATAAAAATAATAAAATCATTAAGCAATAATTTTTTTTTTATTAAATATTCTCAAATTTTAATTAACATCAAATTTGTTAATTTTGACATAATATTAACGCATGTATCTATGCAACAGTCATTTTTTATAGACTTATGAAAGTTTTATTTATTTCTTGGAGATGAATGGTAATGAGTAGAAACTTACCCCTAAATTATTATCTTTCAATTTTTAATAGGTAAATCTTATTTTCTGCTATAATTTAAAATAGAATTCAATCTTTTTGAAGTCTTATAAAAGCCTATGCAGTGCAAAACCCATATAAGATTTTGTATTCTAATTACCAGGATACTTTGCAATTCATGAAAATCTGATACATTTATTAAAAAATATTTTATAAAAAATTTGCATCTTTTGGTTATAAGGGAAGATACCTTTTAACTAGTACTGGAGGAAAAAATTAGGTGAATTATTTAATTCTATGGATATATTATCAATCAGTAAAAATCTTATTAAATTCTGTATTCAAATTTTTTTGATATCATTTCAAATGTTAAAACTAATAATTTCATTGAAAGCTTAAGTCTTTGTCATATTTATTTATTAGAAAATTTGCTTAATTATATATATAGTGAGTCCTTAGGTAATTTTATATGATTCTTAGGATTAAAATAATTAAGTATGTTGACAATATATTTTATTTTATATAATAGAGATGTTACAATATAAAATATCAAAGCAAATCGGGCCTAATTATTTGCAGCATAGAAAGAATTATTGTAATGATATACCAGAATATTTATTATATTTTGGTCAATACCACTTTCCCCAAATTGTTCTAGAGAGCATCATGACTGACATTCAAGGGCTTTCCTAAAGTCAATATATGCAAATTATATCTAAAGAATTTTTGTAGATGGATTTTTAAAGATAAGGTAGGCTCAATTGAGATGTTTTTAAGAGATTCTTGGTAGAGTCAAGGATTCTGTTTAGTGCTTTAATAACGCTTGACTGTAAAGGTAAAAGTAATAGTGCTGTAATCTTTAAAGATTGAAGGATGCTTTCACCCTTATTCAGAATTAAAAGGAGCGTCAAGTATGTCTGTGTGCTCTCCTATATCCTTTTTAATTAATCATAAATAAAATTATAAAAGACCATAAATACCATTAACCTACTAGAGAAAAATAACAGTAACAAACACCTAAGAATTATTTTGTATGCAGATGATTTAGTTTTGATTACTAAATCAAAAGACAAAATAACAGGCCTTTTATTGCATAGCAACAAAGCTGGCTTATGCATAAATTTCAACAAAAGAATAATGCCATTTCAGGAAGCATCAAGTGATAACTTGGGAATATCATTGGCAAAATCGGAAGGCTAAAAAAAACATTAAGATAAATTTAATGCAAGCACAACTAATTTGAGGAAACATCTCAAAAAATACCATATCAATGCATTTTCACTCTTAAAGGAAAAAAAATAGGAAGGGAATCAGGTTATGATGAAATATCATAAATTCAAATAACATTGCCAAGTCTGGTAAATAAGCAAAAAATATGGGACAATGAAGGCCTAGATCCAAAGCCATATCACCATATATCAAAAATAGGATCATTCGATAATCATTCATTTTCCATTGTAGACGATATTAGATTTAATCGGCAAATAATTGTGAAAACTATAAAATCCCATCTAGAAAATAGTTTTCTGAAAAATTGTCTAATGAAATATATCAAGATATATTGAATAAAATTAAATGTTAATTAGATGGGGAAAAATTCCTTTTAGATTTAAAGTGATCTGTGGACCATGTGTTCTGGATTGGATTCACATATAAGGTTGACTATTAATTTAATAAATGAAAATTTTGAACCAATTGCAAGATAGCTTCATGTTGCAACTAAGAAAGAAAGAAAGAGATGATTTTAAATAATTATTATTAGTTTTATTTTGTACATATTTCGAAATTGTCAAATAAAAATGATATTGAATATGTAAATATTTTATATTCAAAATGAAATAATTATTATAAGTTTTTTATATTTCATTTAACTTTCATAAACAGTTTGAACCAAAATATTTCAGTTAAGGTCATTGATTATTTTACTTGATACTCTAATTATTTATTTTTTATTTACTTTTTATTTTATATAAGATGATTTTATATATTTGACATCATTATGATTTTTTGAAGAATATAATTTATTTAATCATCAAACCTTTGCAACTTAAAACTGCAGCATAATGAAATATATTGCAGCATTATAAACAAAATAATGGACAATCGGAATATTAGTAAAAGTAAACTATATGTCATTCCATGTGACAAGGTACCAAATATGGAATCTGGTTGCAAATGGTAATTTAATTTAATATATAGGTAGGTAATTATTTAAGTGTATCATATATTGCCCTCTCCCTACAATTAGTATTAAAAGAAATTGTTTCTATAAAGAGAGCTATTATTATGTTATTCGAACAAGAAAAATTAGCCATTTGATCATTCATCTATTGCTAAATGAAGACTCAAAATTATTCAGAAAATTAAATTTGCTCACTCACAAACTTATACGATTACAGAAGATGGGCCTCAACTTTTTACAAGCTAAAAAGATTCCTGGAGCAAAAAAAGCCTTGCCTATTGAAACAATTTCCCCCTTAATATGTTAACACCAAATGAATACTGTTTAGCAGTAAATCTGGCCCTATTAGGATTCAGTGCATTACTGAATGGAGAAAATGCATCCATTAAGCATAGTTATTCCATTTGACTTTAAAAAAGATTTTGCTAGTCATGGTGAGTAGGTGTCCAAACTCAATAAAAAATATTTTATATACTTTTAGATTCATGAATATAAGCTATAACTTATCATTATAATATATTTAAATGACATATGTTGCAGTATAATTAAAATTAGCAGTAATCAGCCTATATCAATTAAATATTGGTAATATCAGATCAACCTCCAAAAACTGGTATTGGCATACCATGTGATCATTGACCAAAGAATAGAGATTTGCCAATGTAATTTTAAAATATGGCTTAATGAATTAAAAATCTATTAAACAATGACTATAATTCTTCATTAAAGAATGAGTTCTATATTATACAATATGGATTGATATTTTAAAATAAATATTTAATGGTATGTTTAGCATGCCATGAGATCTGCAGGCTCTTGTATTATGTCACTGTATATATAAGAATAAAGGTTTTGAATATATTAAATTCCATTTGTTTTTTTATTCAAAATAAATTTATATACATTTGATGGATATAATTATTTTTCTATCAATATTTTTTTAATTTTATAATTTATAATAATACTGTTAGCAAATAAATTTATTATAGTGTCTCTATTTTATAATTGTTGATTTAATAAATGTTTATAAAAAAATTATTATTTTTTATGCATTTAACATATAAATTTAAAATAAAATAATTTAAAAGGTCATCTAATAATATTGTCTATTGATTGATTATGGTCTTGAAATGACTCATCATTATTTTTAAAACTAATTCTAAACTTAATTAGATGTTATGCTCAAAGAGTTTAAAAAATAAGAATTCTTCTATAAAACATAACTTTGTAATATATATATTTCAATGTACAATTAAATTTAAATTAATAATAAATATAAATTCTAATTACTGGAACTCTATCAGGATATTTTTTCCTAATCTTTTCTCCTTCAGTCTTTCTTTTATCAAAAGTATGTTCTTCTTTGTATTCCCACTTCATAATTGAAAGTCTATATTGATTGCCAAATAATAAATATATAGAATATGTTAATCACAACAGATATTTTGAAATATTATAAAAAATAAAATAATAAATTTTATTTAGTTTATCAAAATTATTGCATATAGTTTATTACAAAACTTCAAATGAATGATACTCATAAAAAACTCACTTATAAAAAAATGTCGAATAAATTTGGCTTATAAAAGTTGCTTTGAATATTATAAAGAGTACTAATAAATTTATCAACACGAGGTATATAAAGTTAAAAATTTTTTATAAAATCTGGGTTATATAATATTAGGAAAATATTTTAATCCAAAATATCTTAATAATATTTCTATAATATTTGGTAGTTAAAAATATTCAAATTTTTATTTTTAAAAAAGGTTTTAATTTAAAAATTAAATGCAATAGAAACGATATTAATTAAAATAAAATATATTTAAGAAAATAAAAATATTAGAAATTATTTTACAAAAATATAATATAAAAGATTAAAAAAGGTGATACATATCAACCTAGAAAGGAGTGAATTGGGAAATTGGATAAGCAGATTTCGAGTTTAATTTACTTCATATTTTGAGTACTTGATATATTTTTTAATCATGCATAAAAATACTTAAAATACCGGATTTAAGAGTTATATATTATAATCATAGTAATACACTTAAATTTTTTGTCTAACATTTTTAGCACATGAAATGAGCGATCATTCATCATCTGAAGAAAGTGAACCTGGTAAAATTACTTTTTAAATTTTATCTTAATTGTTAAACTATATGTGTTTTTAAATATCGTTGTAATATATATTTATTTGTTTAATATTAATTATGTTTATTAGACATTTATTTTATAAAATATAGTGGCCATATTTATTTAATGCATATTGATGATTCATTTATATAAATTATCATAATTAATAACTTTTTCTAATGATATAGGTGTTGATCAAAAGGATGGGCATATAAATGGTTCTAATTTTTTTAGGACCACAGAAAACCATGTTGATGTCCAAGCCTTGAATGAAAATGGTTTATAAAATTTATTAACTTATATCTAAAACCTTAATTCTTATTTTTATATCTTAAATACTTATACCACATAATAATGCACTGAGTAAAACCTTAATGGAAATACAAATTTCAGTTCACTGCCAATAAAAATGGGATTAGAGTTGACCCTTGATATAATGTAAACTAACATTAATTTTCAAAACATCACCAACTATTTCAATTACCATTTTATTAATAATTATTATCATATATATTTCATTTTGTATTGAGACATCTGAATATGAAATATTATTTTAAAATATAATTGTGCCTGTTTTTTGGGAACTTGTGATCCCACTTCCACTTCCATTTTTATATTTTATTTTTAAATTATCATAATGTAGTGAAAATACAAAATATTTTTTAAAAAAAGATGATTTTTTTTTTCTATTCTTAGGAATTCTATCATTAGCATTTTTTAGAGCATTAAATATCATTTGAAACCTGTTTATAGTGATATTTTTTAGTAATCTAACTCCAAATATATGCTCCATTATTGATTTCCCCACTCTACCCTATACCCCATTAACAGTATATATTGGTTTTCAATTCGTTCACAACCATTTATTACAAGAGACAAAATTTATTAAGTATAACAGTTGAAAGAACAGTTTAAAATTTTATATTTTCCTAACTTATATTATGATATAAATAGATTATAACTCATCAGACATGGAACCAGATGACCCTTATGATAGAAATCTGGAAAAATCGCCCAATGATATTTCTGAAAGTTCTGTTCATTCCAGCCCTAAAAAACCCGATTTTCACGACAGTGCCAGTAGCCAAGGTGATGGCGATGAAGATTCCTCTATAAAAATAGATCGTCCTGCTACCAAAGATTTTAAGGAACTTGTTGATTCTAATCTTTTCGATAATGATGAAGATAGCAGTGATAATGATAAAAAAATTACGGGTGATAAAATAAAAATGTCCGACATATTTGGGTCAGACAATGAAGAAGATGTTGAGGATGGCAATGCTGAGAAGATGCAAGTAGACCAACAAATTGATTCGACCGAAGAAACAGGAGGTGAAGGAGACCAAGAAGAGGTTTGTCCTGGGGGGAGGGAGGTGTTTTAAGCTTGGAGATAAGGAAAAATAATAAAATAGATACATTTTTTAACATTAACTGTAAAATTTATTTTTTCCATAAATTGTTTGATTATTAGAGAGCTTCTAATTAAGATAAACGAAGTTTACATTGGAAATTAAAATAAAAATTACATTTTAGGATGAAACATTCAGTTCTAACATGCCAATAAAAACTTTCGATGACTCTGACGTCATTACCGATAGTACCAACCTGATGGGAGAGGAAAGAATTGATGATATTATAATAGAGGCCGAAATGCCTAGGGTGAGACCGGAAATATTTTTTGGCGCAACAGCAACAGTTACAAATAATAAGGCTAATTCTAGTGGTGGTATTGCTAGCAACAATAATGAAATGTATTTTGTCAAACTGCCAAACTTTTTGAGCGTTGAACCAAAGTTAGGATTAATATAATGTATGTATCTTATTAAGACATCAATGAATTTTAAGGGTGATAGGGTAGTAGTAGTAATATAAATTAGAGGCTGGTATGCCATTAAGCCCGGCAGACTACAGATTTTTGGTCTGGGCAACTCATGCAGGGTAATTTTTTTTCAATTGATATTATTATGATGTTTACCTATTTTATTCTATTTATTACAAAACATGATGTGAAAATGTTTAATTATTTTTCACCTCCTGATTTTAAACTTTTACTATTTTTTACAATTGTGATATTCCAGGCAAAAAAAGGAAGATTGAATGATAACATTTAATTTAAAAAATAAGACCATTTAACGCCCCAACTTTCGAAGATGAAGTATCCGGATTCCTGGCGGCGCCAGAGGATGAGGACAACAAAACGCGGCTCAAGCTCCGCGTGGAAAACACTGTTAGATGGAGGTACGCCAATCAAAATGAGAATGACGTCAATGATTTTCGGACTAACTCGGATAAAGAATCGAACGCCAAGATCATCAAGTGGTCTGATGGGAGGTGTTTTTTAAATTTTATGTGTTATTTATTTTTATATCACTTCTTATCTGATTTTTTTCATTCACCATTAATTTTTTTAGTATACATACTTAAGGACCTCATTTCAGAGGATTTTCAAAACATCTACAAAATAATCAATCATATCTCTCTATATTAGACCTTAATTAATAAAAGCTTTTGATAGAGTTTACAACAGGCACGTGATTATTTGCCTAATGTTTATTAAATGTAATAACTCCCCAGTGAAAAGGTGATTAGCCATTTTGGCATTTTTAAAGAAAAATTTGATATTGAAAATTGCAGATCAGAAATAAATATTATTTTTAAGGAAAATCACTTTGTTCTAATATTTTTTACGATTGTAATAATTTTTTGTTTTCAAGAGGAGTGGGGGGGGGGGGGGTTGCAAAATTGTTCAAGTATCACGCTATTATAGAATTCTACTTAAATTTTATATAATAAATATAAAATTTCTCTTTAATTCCATAATTAATTTTAAAATTTGAATATAATCAGCATTATAAATCTTATTTAATTTAAAATATAAAATGTCGCCAACAGAGATCGCTGAAGAGAAGAAACAGATGATAACAACGAAATTTCATTATAAAATTTTGTGGAATTTACTTTTCCTAAATTTGCAAAGTATTTTACCTAATAAAAATATAATAATGCAGGATTTAAATTATGCATAAATTATAAAGATGACGTTTAATAAACCAAGTTACTTCAGCCCAAAAAAATTTATAAATTAAATTCTCAAGCCTACACGATAATGATAGTATGCTATATGCCATTATTCACTCCAATTTTTAGCTGAATTGACCTTATATTAACTTAATTGGATCCAAAAAGCTGCCAAATAGCTAAAAACGTTGAATCTCATACCTAACAAAGATACATTCGCTGATACTTCAAGAATGACATTATGGAAAAATTATTTGGAATATAATAATGCAATAGAAAATCCTCTTTTTTTTAATCTAGTACTCATATGAACATTTTTGATAATTTTTTTATATAGAAAATATTTATAAAATTAAATATCACATTGTATTCAAGTGCTAGTGTTAAGCGATTATTTAGGATCAAGGTTTATACTTTCTGATCTTGCTCTAAATTTGGAGATTATATTATATTATTACTAAATGTAACAAAAATAAGGCATACATTTTATATTTTTATACCATATTTTTTACATATTTTAATTATATGGGCATAGATTTAATATATATAAAATATAAATCTTTATAATATCCCAAGTAGGGTTAGCATGCTACTTTCAAGAGTAGCGTTTAACACAACTGTGGGGAGGGGGGGAGTAGATGAATGTATAAGATTTTGTCTAATTTATAATGCTATAACTCAATCTAATACAAAATATTTCAAAAAAAATATATATCTTTTTAAATCAGTATGTCACTTCAATTGGGTTCCGAATTTTTCGATATTTATAAAACTCAAATCACGAATGATTTCAATCACCTCTTCGTCAGACAAGGCACTGGCCTTCAAGGCCAAGCTATTTTCAAAGAAAAATTATCCTTTAGGTAAATTTTTCTGTTTTTTTAATAATTAATATTATTTTTCAAAATTTCTAATTCTAAATTCCTTTTTTTTTTAAAAAAAAAGAAGACAATTATCATAAATTTATTTTGGTTTTTTCTGTGTAACGTAACAATCTCCTCTATTATGGAGCAATTTATCAAATTTAGATTACAATAAAATATATATTTTCTAAAAAATATTTTATTTCTAATTTACATCAATGATGCACGGATTAGCGGATACTAACACGCGATGGATTGATATCCCCAATAAGGAAAAAAATATCGGCTAAAAATGAAAGCTTCGGCTGATATCATGAATACCAACTCTTATATTGTATATATAAAAAGTTTTGCTATTCGGGTGGTATGCTTAACGAAGAGGGAGGTGTAGATTCTGCTATCGTGGCTAGACAAGCATGGAAGAAGTATAGAGAGAAGTCGTCTATTCTAATAAATAAAAACGTCGTTCTGACGTTAAAGGGAAAAGAAAAGTACATAAACTGTATTATGAGGAGTTGTTTAGTTTATGGCGGTGAAACATGTTTAATTAAAGTGATTCACGAAGCTAAATTGGAAGGAACGGAGTGAGGATGATTAGATGGATGTGTGTGGTATCTCTAAAAGAAAGAAACTAGTAAGGAATTGAGCAAGGATGGGAATAGTTGTGATTGGGTTTGGGATGTGGAACGTATGCTAAAGGATGACTAGGTAAAAAGATGCACCTTGATGGAAGTAGAAGGATCAAGACCTCGAATAAGGCCTAAGATGATGTGGATAAAGGTTATAGCGGCAAATACGAGAAAAATGAGTCTTACAAATATTGATTCTCAGGACCATCAAAAAGGGAGAAGGAAAATCAGAGGGGAGTCTGGCTTACTTGGGTAAACCTGGAAATCGCCATTAAACGAAGAAGAATGTAAAGTAGACTAAATAAATATATGGTTAACCAAATGAGGATCATACTTTTTCCAGCCGATTAAAATGCTTAATTTTTTCAAACATTACTTATATGTCTAACTAAGAAACCATAAAAATATCATCTCAAAATAAAGCATCACAAACTGGAAATCTGATCTGCTGCATATCTGTTATGTTGACTGTTAAGGGTATAAAAATAAGATTAATTGTATATATTTATAAGGGAAAATTAAAATGCTATATAAATTTTAAAATTTATTGATATAATACATTTTACTAGATACAATATTGACATATTTTATATATTTTACCTATTTTTTTAAAACAATTTAATCAATATGGCTGACACATGTGACATATATATTATCTGGCAGCTATAGAGGTCTGCAAATGAAAAAAAATTCAATCCTGGCCTAGTTGAAATTAGTTTTTGTTCAACTAGACATGGTCCGCCCAAATTTGTATCCAACCTGCCCCCGGTTCAAATTTTTTATTAAAGATGCCTATCCCAGTCTATAAAATCCAAAAATATATCCAAAATAACCAATAATGACGAAAATTTTGTTTTCAGATTTTGTTATTATATCAATAAACTTGAAATATAAGGGGAAATAAATCGTAGTAGCACATTTAAACATTAAAATTAAAGCAAAATAAAATGTAATATATTATTTTAACAAAATTAGGCTTTTGAATGTTTTTTTTACCTTGAATCTCTCTCTTTTTGCACGCCTGTTATCCCAGATAAAAATTTTCAGACGTTACCCCAAGCCACGCATTGTAAATCTCTAGGCGGCTATGACAAACTATACCATCGCCTTTTTCTATCATGATGCAAGAATCGTTTATTCACAACAGAGATCTACAAAGTCCGGCCTATGGTCCTGATCGAATTTTATAAAGTATTATGCCGAACTAGGTGAAAGATTTGATGGGTAGGTGGATAGTTATTACATCAAAAATTTTGAAATGAATAAAAAAAAAATTCGACCTATATGATATAAAGGGATGTAAAAAACAAAATAATTACTATAATATTAATATTTTATTGGAAATTTTTTTATCTTTGCAATGATTAAATTAAATTTTAAAACTCAATAAATTTAACAAATATACATAATAGACAATTAAGCATTAATGAATATTCTTTCATTGAATAAATTGGTTCTATTGAATTTTGTGATCAAGATGGGTAATCGGCGCATGATATTAATATTAGAAGTAAAATGCCATTTTCTGCTCGAGCATTTATCATTCTTACACAGTTTATATTATGATCCTTTAATCTGCTCCTACTTGAAGAAAAAATGTGTTTTGAGCAAAATTTTCATTCATAAATTCCAATATTTCCTATTTTCTCCAACAATAAATAGTCGTCATATACATGCTGAGATTTGTATCGTGGCATATTTTAATAAGATAAAAAATTTAAGAAAAATATTAAATTAACTTATATATCTGTTATTAAAAAAAACTTAATAAAATTTTGTTAATAAAATTATTGATTTTTCAAAAAATAAAATTTAATAAATTATTTTTTAATATAAAAATAATAGCTATATTTTATAAAAAAAAATTTTTATTCCCTCAATGTTCATATTCAGTAATCTAAGAGCCATCTGAAACCTTATGTGAATTTTAATCATATTTTGCTTGGTCAGATATTTTATCATTTTAAAATACTAAAAATAAATTTATAAATAATATTATTTATTTGACAATTTATTATTTTACGTAAATTATTCAAGTTTTTTTTTTAAAAATATCCTAAATCACAAAATAAAAGTCTCCATTAATATGAATGATACCGTTTTAATTGCATTAAACCTGGTCTTGGTCTATTTTTTTAAACGCTTCCTATGTTAAAGAATAGGAGATAAAATTCTTACTTTTTAATATTGTAAGCGTTTTAAGCGCAGTGTTATAGAGTTGACAGGCCTTATTTGGAAAAAATACGCCAAGGTTAGAAGTAATCTTTTTTAATACCAACTATTATTAAAAGGCCTGCATTTTAAAAACGACCAACATATTTTAGCGTAATAATATTACGCAAGCCTGAAGATTTTACTCATAAATGGCAGATACGTTTGGACATCTATTAACGAAATCTCGGGGTTCACATTATATTATTCTGGCTAAAATCTAAATTTAGAATCGACTAAATCGAGCCCTTTAACAACACTAATATCTAATCTAGTTATATTTATCCTATTAGTAACTCAACTCATTAAGAAATGATTGCAGTTTTATTATGTTATCCTGGGTTTAAGGTCTATTTTTAAGTTTACGTTTACTTACCATATAATATTAATAGATCTGAGACATACGTAAAAAAAATTACTGAAATAACTAAAGATAATGTCTCATTTTTTTGGATTTCTATAAAATTTACAACGATTTTTTTTTTGAATTAGACCCCATTCGACCAACAGTATAACTCACAGGAAAATGACCCTATCTCTGGCGGATAGATGCTCCAAGACTCGTAAATCCATAAAAGTTTTGGCCGGAACAGACAAGACTATCAAAGGAGATCCAGAACTTATCAAAGCCGAATTGTACAAAGTTAGTTATTTTTATAAATAATTATATTTAAATTTGAAAGAGGGAAAAAAATGGAAAGAAAAAAAATGTTAATTGTTAAAAACATAAATTATTATTTCTCAAAAAAAATTTACAAGAGAGAAGAAGAAAAACTAAGAGCATCGTTCAAAATGGCTTACCAGTCCAAAAAAGTTTCGTGTCATAATAAAATCGGAATGAAAAAACATCATAAAGGAGCAGACGATCTTTCAAACGAGACAGACGATTATTTTGAAACGGGAGGAGCAGACGATGTCTCCATAACCGCTATCAAGAAAAGTGTCATGAATAATTTTCACAGCAGCGGTTTTAATAATTCTCGAGGATACAATAGCTATGAAACTCCCAATTCTAGCGTTAAAGGTATAGATAATTTAATGATTGAGTTGCAAAACACTTAACAATTGCGATTACTGGGAAAATAAATATAAAAGATTCATTAATTAATAATAAAAGATGTTAATATTGATGAATTATATCTTTACTTCAATAAATATACTACATTATTATTTTTGGTATCTCAGTCACTGGTCTGCAAATCGCAAAATTCTTAGGCCCGGCCCGATGGGAATTTAGTTTCTTTCTGCCCGACCTGATCCTTTTTCAATTTTTCACTAAGGTTTCCCAGCCCGGTTTTTAAAAATTTAAAGCCTACTCTAAAATATATGTTGCTGAACACCAAAATAAACAAATATTTATAATCACGGGGAGTGGTTAAATTAAAAACACTATACTTTATGGATTATCTCTTCTATGGAATATCAGAATTCATCATATAATTTTGCCTGGTCCGGCTCAAAAAAATATTTCAGGCGTTATTCGCCCCGGCCCCAGATCACTGCTATGAGGTACCTTTTTTTAAATTTATATTTTTGTCACACTCTTATAAATTCAAGAATCCAGACCTAAGATATATTCTTCTGACAGTGACGATGATTACGGAAATTCTGTTGAGGTAAAATTTATGATATATGATATTGTTAATTTTTATAAAAATTTTCATGAAATTCCGTCTAATTTTATATAAATAGTTATTTTTTAAACTTCAATTAATTGAAGATTCGCTTATACGATTTAATGCTTCCTTCGGTATTTATAGTTATAATTTCATGATTTTATTTTGTCACTTCATTTTTGTTTATAGTATTTTTTTTAACTTTACTTTGATCAATGTTGCTATAAAACCATTTAAAAAGCAACATTAAATACCATTTGGATTAAACAGTAAAACTGTATCATAGGTCGGCTTAATTTGCATATAATTACTTTTTAGTATAGGCTAAAAAGTATTTGATCAAGAACACCCAATTTTGATTTATTTTAAGGATTTGGTGGCAATGTTATTTTTCCATTTAGCTATTTAGGCGATAATTATAAGACTACTAAATAGCCTGCTATTAAGTATTGGGCCAACCTAGGATATGGCCTAAGAACTTATAATGTATGAAAAGTATTAAAATTAATTTGTTTATTATGTAATTTGTGTCTAATACATTTTACAAAAAGTGGAATTAGAAACGGTATAAATCTATATTTTTTTTAAATATAAATTATGATTTTAGTTTCCAAAAGAATTTACTATGAATGAAAAAATGTTTTATTGATAACAAGGGAATAAATTAGATTAACACCTGAAAAAATTGTAGTTTACTCTTTTTTTATATAGGCCTATAACACGGAGAAAAGACATTACAATCACGTTATTTTTATGAATTTTTATTAGGCCCTATACAATAAGTATAAATTACAGTTTTGAGCATATGCCATTTATTTATTTGAGCGCTTCTCTTTGAGGATATTAAAATCACGGGATCTATGTATATGGGCTTCTATTAGGTACCTTTCCCCCCTTTATTAAAATCTTACCCAACATTACAAGGTTAATTCTAATTATAGTTCTAATATAAATATGAAAAAAATTTTAATATATTAACAAAAAAAAATTGAAGAAAAAGGTATCACAAAAGAAATCGGCAAAAATAATCAATGAAAGTGACGAAGATTGAAAATGTGGGAATTATTTTCGCAAAGTATTTTAAGAAATCCTTTTTTTTATAAACACTATTATCAACTTATATATATATATTTAAGATATGATGTATTTTATAATTGTAAATAAAGTTATAATCAGGCAATAGCATAGTGAAAAATTTCTCTGGACATTATATTATATGGGTATTTTAAAAATTTGACAAAGTTTATAAGAATCATATTGGTATTTTGTATTTGGGTGGAGATAGAATAAATTCTAGTTATAAAAAAATTATGGTTTTAAGAGAATGATAATACGGTATTATCACCTTTTAACCGTGATAAAGAGGAATCTTATTTTAAAGTTTACGTGCGTTTCGTTTTATTTTTTTAAATTTAATTGTTATTTATTAATTTTCAATGTTGTTTTCTGGCCTCATTCTTGGTCATGATGGGTAGGACTTGATGGGGAGGGGGTAGCGTAAAAAATATTTTTTCCATATGAGTATCAAATAAAAGGTATTAAAATATCTTTTGATTGTAATAAAAATTAAACTCTAAATGGGCTCTAGGTCTTGGAGGGTCAGGAAATTTTTTATCAACTCAAAATATTAAATAAAAATGATAGATCAAATTTATGCCCCATAAATATTGAAGCCAAAATTATCCAAATGGAGGGTGAGAAACTATGGGTTAGAACTAATTTGGGAAAAATTGATTCTCCATTTTTAAAAACGAACGTTCCCAAATCAAACCATTCCTAATAAAACCATCTCCATAATAATAGCATCAAGAAGTCCTTCTTATGGTAATTGTAAATCAATTTGCAATTGCCAAAAAAGTTGCAACAATAAGGGATGCCAATGTTTTAAAAATAGGTATTAATTGTTCCACAAAATTTCACTTAAATATTATTTGTGTAAACAATAAATAATTGTTCAAAATTATATTTTAAATTCAAGTCAATAGATATTTAAATTACCTTTTATTTGATTCCTATATCAATATTTTATGTTTATAAAAATATTCCTAACCACACAAGACCCTCCCGCCTACTTAGAGTATAATTACAATCAAGAGATATTTTAATTAGCTTTTATTTTATACCAATATCGTTATTTTGTGTTTATAAAAATATTCCACTCCACCCCCCCCCCTCCCAAGACCTAGACCCACCTGCTTAGAGTGATAATTATTATTACAATCAAAAGTTATTTTAATTACCTTTTATTTGATACCCATATCGATATTTTGTTTTGATAAAAATATTCTTGACCCCCCAGACATAGACTCGCCCATTATGGGGGAAATGCTGACCACTAGTTGAATAGATCTTTTGATTAGCTATCTATTGATGCCTTATTTTCTATATACTTTCATGAGCCCACCATAAAACTTTGAAAAGTAAATAACCAATAAAATTTAAAAAAAATAAAGCAAAACGCTATTTAAATTTAGATTTTTCTCTATCGTTGTTCTAACGTGATAATACCGTATATTATCCTTAACAAAAACTGAATTCTTAAAGGATCCCTTTAAAACCTGGATGATTTCGGCCCTTTAAAAATTGCGACATATATCTTCTTTAATTTGTTATCTCTTATCTAATCGGCGCGAGAAATTTTTTTTGTCGGACACATCAAATGCGAAATATTATTTTTTTGTAATTAAATCTTTTTCAATAATTAAAGTTATAAAAAAAAAATCTATATTCAAGTGAAAGTGGAAAAAATATATGCTATCGAGGAAAATAAGAAATTTTGTCTTTTTTCCTAGAAAGAAAATTTATAAATTCTAGGACTTTTATATTATAAGAAAAACAAATATGTATTTTAAGATAAACCCAGCAAAGGGGGCTCTGAGCGAAGGGGGGTGGGGTAAAACCCCCAGGCTTTTTTATGTATGGACCTCTAAGGAAAATTCCTAGCTACCCCACTGTATTTAGGCAATAGAAACAACAAAGATAGATAAACAGAAGATTAAGTTGATATTAAGTTTATAATTCCATGAAGATCCACAAAATAATAATTTTTTAAAAAAAATATATGATAAAATGTTATTTTTATATAATATTTTTATATCATAAATTACAAAGGAATATCCAATTTGGAAGGATAACATTAATAAATCTATACAGGATACAGATTTTTATTTCAAATCATAAGACCGGACCATATTTTTTTTAATACAAACGGGCTGGGCCCAAAATTTTTTATAAAGACCCAGGCCGGGTTTAAATTTTTCTTTTTAAAAAATATTGGGGCCGAATATTTAAATCGCCATTATTAGCTATTAAAATTCAATTTTTAAAATTTTGCCCCGGGCTTGAAAATATAAAATCTGGGTAGGACCGAAGCCCGTGCAAATGGTACCTCTGCAGGTCTCTGATAAATATAAACATGAAAATTATAAGAATTGTAGGGTATAATATATATATATTATAGTGAAAATGAGATAAAATAACAAAATTGAACATAAATATTTAAAATAAAAAATTACTATATCTGAAATAGATACTTATAAAATTAGTGATATCATATATGAAATTTCAATTATTATAATAATAAGATAAACACACCTATAATATCATTCCCTTTTGCAAAATCCTTACGCCTATGTAACTATTTAATCTATCCAATAAAGTAATAAACATTAATAATTGTATTTTATTTAATCTAATAATTGATGGCTTAAATCCTTTAATATAATAAATTCAAAAAATTATTTTTTAATTCAAAAATTTTCAATCCGTAAGTTGACTTGATTGTTTTATACTACAATATAAAACAAAATAATTTAGAAACGTTATATATCAGATTTTACTCACCAAAATAATTAAGGTTCATTTTAATAAGCTGAAAATATTACATGCATGGTAGAGGGCTGCTATAATATTTAAAACAAAGTCATTTACCGGTAAAGTATATTGTTAATATTATGATATTCAAAAGTTCCTAGTAGAGATGTGCACGGGTCTAATTTTTTTTCACGGCCCGCCGTTCACAGTGTCAAATCATCCTTTCAGGCTTGCTGCTAAAAATATTTAACCCGACGCTAACAGAATTCAATATCGTAATCATGCCCAAAAAATTGATGGTTTTTATATGTTTTGCAAATTTCTTAAAACTTTATTGCTACTTTCACACTTTTTTGAGATACTTACCATTTTCTTTTGTTTAATTTTAATATCTGCTGCAGTTTCATCGTCTGTCAAAAACTTAGAACTTTTGAAATTTGGATCTAGAATTAAGCCTATCTTATGTTATGGCTGCATAATAAATCTTTCTTTAAAAAGAGATATTGTCCTGTTTTGGGGGGTATTAGTTAATATTGTATCTTCTGAAGGTTGACAGTTATATTAATATTTGATTCCATAAATAAATTTCATTTATAGTGGGATGAGAATCTGCGCTCAAATTATTTAAGCAATCTTTGAATATTGAATAAAATTGTCTAATACTTATATCAATATGCCTAATCTATTTAATTCTTGTTTGTTAAACAAGTGAACGTATTTCATTATTAAGAAAATTTGCAACATGATATATATACATAGTTCTATCTAGTTATATATATCGGAAGTGTAAGCTTGGTGTATGCTCCAGATTACTTAAAATAATGCACTATCTTTTTTACACAATTTATACTTGTAGCAATTTTATGTAAGCAATGAGCGAATATCAAAAATATAATGCGTATGACATGATATCCTTAAATCATCTAATGAAATTATATTCATTACATTTAAAAAGCATAAGTCAATTGCATCAATTATCTCTTAGAATTATAGGTAAATATGAGAAAATTTAAATCCTTATGATTTTAACTGATTATCATTTGAGTGCAAAGGATTAGTATATATAGTAAAGATAAATGAAAATAAAACAAAATTAAATTTATTAGCATATTTTTTATTTCTAAACGAGAGTTGAGAGATTTTAAATTATTTTTCATTCAATTGAAATTTTATAAGACGGGGAAAAATGCAGTTTATAAAATGCGTAGTTTTCTTTGTTTTCAAAAATTATTGCTTTTTTTAATAATTAAATTAGAAAATTACAAATTTATATTCATAAAAAAGCAATTTTAAAAATTAAAATTTCCGTGACTCACGGAAAATTTATGCTTATGCCAAATCACGGCCGGAAAAAAATTTGGAAAGGCTCGTCACTCAATCACACTTATTAATTTAAATTTTATTCACACACATTCTAGGTAATTTCACGCTTCGCGTTCACCTCTAATATCGAGTGACTAATTAAATTTAAAAAAGATTTAATATTATTAACTTGACTTATTTAACAGTATAATATTAAATTATTATTTAAATTTAAAAAAATTAGAATCACATTTATCTAAACATTTGGAAACACTTACCTATTTTTACCTCATAATATCAAAATGCCTCCATTTTTTATGTCAACATTTAGCAAAATTTTTACTTTCAATTGAATTGCATTTTTTTATTTCAATGTTTTGTAAATGTCAACATTGATAAATATTTTGTTCGAATTTTCAAAATTATTCATATATTATTTTGAATTGTTCACATATTCACTGTTATATATATAATTTTGCGAAATCATTTTAATTATTTTAGATTGGAATTAACTTGAAATATTATTATTTTAATACATAAATTAAAAAAAAAGTTTAATTAAATATATTTATAATTCATGCCTTGAAAAGTTTAGAGGAAATTGGGCCTGGCCAGCTAGATCAAAATTCGACCTTTTCCGATTGGGCGGGGGATTAAAGAAATTTAGCCTGCGCCCACTTCTAGTTTGGATAACGTCATGAAATCATTGAGTTTTATTATTATTTTTTTATACGTTGGCTATAAAATATTTTTGCTCTATAAAGGTAATCAAGCTAATCCTACTTAATCTATAAGTGCATGCCTAAAAATAATTGAGGCTGGAGTTAAATTTTATTTTACTTTATCTAATATTTAAATATCTTCCCGAGAATTACAAAGTTGTAGCAATAGTAGTTTTGGGCTAAACACTCTCCTAATCAATTTTTGAAATCGATTAAAAATAGGCAATTATATAATTATATACTCCCTGCTCTCTAAGAGGCCTACTTTCGACTCCCCTCTAATATTTAAGAAACCCAATAAATTATAATATTACTTTACTAGACAATCTCTCAATCTTAGCGCTTGAATCTATAATCGTTTCCATATTCACCTTAACCAATCATTCTAATTTTAATCAGTGGCTCCTAAACTTTCTGAGCGAATGAAGCAGAATACCCCCTGAAAAGTACCCCCCCCCCCTCGAAAAAATGATAATTATTTTATGACACCCATAAATTTCAAAAAAAATTTTATTGCATCAATTTTTAATATATAATATAAATAAAATGCAAAAAATATATACTTTATAAATATTATTTTTAAATTAATAATTTAGATAAATTAGGGGAAGAGAAAGCGAATTTATAATTTCATCAATATTTAATGTTTAAATTAATTTTTTTTCATTGATAATTTGGTTAAATTATTGAGAAATGAATCTTTCATGGTACTACGAAGTCTTGTTTTAATTAATTTAATTTTACTCATGACTCTTTCGGCAGTACATGAGGTTGTAGGAAGTGCAGCATAAATCAGACCTATTTTAAAGCTAAAAAAAATTTCTATATTTAATGATGAAAGTATATATATATATACCTCTCCTTTTTGGATTTTAATGTTTGAAGTCTAGAACTTTCAAAATCAAAAGGTAGATTTCTCTCCTTCATAAAATCTTGTGCCTTTAAAAAATCATCCAAAAATTCAGTGTTATTATCTATTAGATTAAAAAATAATTGACAATAATTTACATTATACTTCTCAAATTAATCAAGCAATCTATTGCTAATTGAATTTGATTTATTGCAAACCCTATATCCTTCGAAATGGTTTGCAATTTTGTACAAGCCAAACTTGTTATCAACAATATTTTATTCAAAACACAAAATGATAAGATAAAATCAAATTTTTCCTTTCTAAAGGCTATAGCATTAGCCATAGTGGAAGTGGCAGGATCTTCAGAATCCTTTAAATTTGTTATAGCTGCCCTCAAGGCATCATAAAGTAGAAAAAAATTTACAATAGCTTTATATGACGATAGCCAGCTTCTAAATAAAAAAACATTGTAAATCTAAATAAATAAGGTACTTTACCGAGTGGTATTCTTGATGCGTAGAAATCGTTGCGATTTTTTAAGATCATTACACTAACATTTTTTGAGTACCTCATATCTTTTTACACCATTAAAATAGATATAAATCTCATCTAGTATTCCTAGAACATTTCAAAATTCTTTAATTGATTAGCATAATTGAACAATGATTAAATTTGATCGATGACAATAACACCAAATAAAAGCTGCCTTTGACGCCTCTGCTCTAATCAAGGTCTGCACACCATTGATTCTTCCATTCATGTTGAGGCGCCATTATAACTTTGCCCAACTAGAAATTCAAGGTGTAAATTCATCGAGCCAAGTTTGGATATTATATTATGCTTTATATCGAGACCTGTGGTATTTCCCGTACAATGTATGTCAACCAGTCTTTCAACAGGCTTCGGCGTCTGACTATTTTCAATATATTTTACTATCAAAGCTATTGCTTCTGATTTCGAAACATCATATGTGCCATCAACTATGATTGAAAAGCACCTGTTAAATGTAATTTTAGAATTTTTTTATATATTTTTCATGGTTTCAATGAGAATATTTATGTTATTATATGATAATAGATTTGAATATTATTTCGTTTTTAATCCCTTATTTTTTTTATCCCTTTTTCATTTTTAATTTGTTGTATATACATTAGATCCATTATATTGTCTTCTTGTTGCCTGTTCCCCTAGAAGGCTTGGTTACGAGATATTAAATAATCTAAACATCTTGTTATAATACATACGATAGAACGGTTGTTATCTGTACATTCTTTCTGGGGTGTTATAAATATTATTATCGAATTTTTATTCTGAGAAAGCCTTCCATAATCGGCCATCATATGTGCCTGTGAAGGTTCATGCTGAATAATATCACGATTAATATTCTGTTATTTATCTAGACCTTCACATGTCCATTTTGTATTTGTGTGTAGACCTCCAAATAAGAGACATGTTAAGCAAAAAACTTTATTCATTTTAATACGATAAGTAATCCAATTTGTAGCAATTTTGCTATTGTCTATATTAGTTTTTCCATAAAAGCTTTCATTAAAGGATCTGTTTTTATTATTATTATCTTTGTAAATAATGTGTAGGTTGAAGAGCTCCTAATACAATACTAGATATTTATCAATTATAAATTTGTCAATCCTTTTTCCAACAATATTGATGGGATCATTTGATTCCTAAGAAAAGGGAGGGAGGGAAGATAAGATATTTAAATTAAAATATAAATACTACTATCTATTCATATTATACTTAAAAAAATAAGTAGAAAAATTTCCGTCAATATATATTAAATTGGGGGGAGGGGGTATTATTACATTTATAAACCAGAGATCACTTGATCATGATGATGTAACAAAACAGTAAAAGAATTAAATAATAAAAAAAATTTAAAAAATAATTAAATTTTAAAAAAAAGTAATTTATTGAAGCAGTTGCTTAGGAACCCCCCCCCCCCCCAGTTGTAGGAGCCACTGATTTTAATATTACATTTCCCAAGATGTTCACAAGTCTATTTGATTAAAAGTAACAAAGCTACGCTAACAAACATTGAGTTTCATATTTTAAAATACCAAAAATTTTAATTTTTATACAATGAAAAAAGGTTAGAAAGACATAGATAACGGTTCAATTGTGAATTTCATTAAGGTTGGTCATTGTTTAGAAGAATCTATGTGTTGACTTTACGTTTTTAGGTTAGGTAAAAATTTATTAGCTATGGATTGGATGTACAATAATTCCAAAACTATCTTGGATAGGGAAGCATATCTCTTAGGAAAATCTATTGATAAAAATTTTCAAGAATTACAAAATGAAGGTTAAATTTATTACTATTTTTTTGTCAATATTATATTTACAAAAAAAGAGCTAAAGGGTGAAAATACTATTAGAGTTGATAAATTCAAGATTAAAGAAGATCCTCTAAATCTAATTGAAATAAGAAAGTATCAGTACAAAAAAGATTTACTAAGGAATCCCATTAAACTTAAAAAGTTTAAACAAATGTTAATGGACAATGATAAAGAATATTCATATAACATAGATAATGAAAGTTTTATATATACAAAAATAAATCAAAACTCTGTTTATATTATAGGCAAGTTAATAAGTGAAATTGATTTGAAAATCCTTAAAAAATGGAAAAAACTGAAAAAGTCTTGTTTCTATTTCCAAAATATTGCACTTCAAGAATTTGCATCACCCTTTTTAAAAAACACTACTATAACATTACCTACTCAAATAAACATTAATCATCCAATGAAAGATGTTGAAATTGATAACAATGAAGATGAACCTAAACATTCAGTATTTTTATATACTTATTACAATACAAATATTGCAGATTTGTGAGCTTCACATGAATCATGTAAAAAGGTCATTTTATGTCTAATCTAGATATGCCTTTTACAAGAGGGTAGAAATTAACTGTTTTTTAAACCCTATTTAAAATTAGTAGGGGATTTAAACCCTCTATGATGGGCATTTGGCCCCATTTTCCTCACCTTTGTCTGGGTTTATAGATTTTTATCTCGTTAATCATAATATCTAATACACATGTATAATCAAACTTAAATGTTTTACACTCATAATAAAAAAATCTTTAAATTACCCCAATCTTTAGATTTTCTTATCAAAAAAATTAGAAATATATTTTTACCAAGTTCATCCTTTGATTTTTTTTTCAGAATTTAAATGGTACTAATTTATAGAAAATAGCATAATCTTTTTGTATTTTTAAAAATAAGCCCAAAATTTAATGTATATTGAATTTTATATTATATATTATGATTTTTTCCTCATTTCGATTTTTCTCAATGCGAAAGTAATTAAATAAGAATATAATTATTTAATGCCAGAGGGTAAATAATATTTATTAATATAAGCCTTAAAATTTTGGAAGAAATAAATATAATATTAATGTATTTGTTTAATAGGGTTCTAATTAATTTTTTCTAAATTGGTGCTAATTAAAGGGGTGCTCTAGCACCTAGCTAGTGATCCTGCAACAATCGCAAGGTTTTTAGTTTGGGTGGGCTGGTTAAAAATGTTAAACAAATTTTAATGTATGGATATGTTAATTTTTTCCCAGATTGAAAACTCAGCCAACCTCTACTACTAACCATATTTTGCAAAGTTTGTTTATAAAATCATACCCCCTTGCTGGTTTTTGCCAGGCTTTAACTTTTTCTGAGATCTCAGTTCCAAAAAATTAGTTTTAGGATTTATATGCTAATAAATGAACCAGTCTGGGCATCTGTTAAATATGATATAAAAATATTCTTTTAATTAGATCTTGTGATATTTACAATAATACCCTTTTAGCAATCATTAATTAACAATTATATAACCCCAATATTCATTGGGATATTATATAATTTTAATTATATATTCTTCGTTTCAAACAGATATGTATTTATACCAAGGCTGATTGATAACTTAATTACTCATACTACAGGCTGTTACCATGACAATTTATTATAAAAAAAAAAATACTAAAGTAACAAACACAGATGTCTCGATATTGGATATTTATTTTTCAAATACGCCATCTTACGGAAGGAATATATATATAAAAAAATAATTTAATTTTGGGATTATTTTTTATATAAAATATAAATTATTATAGGCATCAAATTATTTGGTAAATTTTTTAATAAGAAATTATTGGGTTAATTTATATCAAATGAGTAAGAAAATGAGATTTTCTGGCTATTTCAATTAAAATTTGTTAGCATGTCAAATTTGTTCTAATTATATTAAAAACAAAATTTGGTCTCTTATAAATTATATTACCTTAAATAATGGGGAATGAAGATGCAAGCATTGGCTTTTTAACACTTTTCCAATGTTAAATAATTAATTTTTAATTAAAACTAAATTAGTTAATATTCTAATATTTATAACAGTCATGATATTTATGGAAAAAACATTAATTCATTTTAAACATGAGTTATGGCCAATAGAAAATTTAAAATGAATTCCAAGTATTTTTAAAAAAATTCATATTATTATTTTATAATATCTTCAATAATTAGCATGGACAGATAATTATTAAAAAATATAAAAACTTATAGATAGCGCTAGAATCATTTCAAGGCATTATTCATGTTTCCTCCAACATTGACCACTTCTCTTATCAAGATACCTTCGCGTTAAAAATAAATTAGTATTAAATAAATTAATTGATAACACGATTAACAGAATAAAAATTTCGACAACTTTTTTATTTAAAATAAAAAATATGGTAACAAATATAATTTGTACTTGCTATATAATAATAATCGACGCCCTTACTGATATAAACATAATAAATTTCAAATTATAATAAATTTATATCATAATAAAATTAAAAATATTAATTTGTATGTCTACTGAAACTAAAATTACATCTTTATTAAAATTCAGCTCATTAAATTAACAAACGATATATTTTAATTTTAGGAATTTTATACCTTCACTCCATTAAATCTTTGCAAATTATAATTCCAACTTTTAACACTTCCTAAACTTCTATATTTTATTTTGTATTTTATCATCGTTTTGAATTGAACGTCTTTATTTTTTTATATTTAAAAAATAATATATGTTCCTCCTTTATTATAAGGATAACATATTAGATATATATTTACTTAAACAAAAAAAGAATTAAATGGAATTTTTTTTAATTTTTGAGTGTTTCAAAATTTCCGTTAAGGTGATTTTTAAGCATCTTTTTATTTGTTTTATGTTTTCTATTTTTTCCATTTAATTAAAGGTTTTTATATGTTTTTTTCTTTTTTTCATCCCTAATTAAGGTATAAAAAGGTCACGAGCTATTGGGGGAACTTTAATTTTTTTGATGATATGAATAATTCTAAACGTTTAACGTTTCGAAATAGTTTATATTATAAGTATAAAAACCAATATGCCTATTTCTGATTAAATATTATAAAATTCCAATTAGCTTATATTTAATATTACATAATTATTAATCTATACAAAAATATTATCCAGTAATTTAATTATAAAGACTTGTAGAGTTGTTAAACTGCTCGTTTTGAGCCGATTTTTAAAAACGGCTAACTTAATATTTTAGACAGAAAAATATTGCCTATCCCTCAAGATTTCGACAATATATGTCTGGACCTTTGTTCCTTATATGAGCAAAATCTTCAGGCCTGGGTAATATTTTTCTGGATAAAGTATTGAGTTAGCCGTTTTCAAAAATCGTCTCAAAACGAGTCGTTTAACAACACTAAAGACTTGTTTATATTAGAAGAGAAATCTGAACTTAATTAATAGTGGTGTGCCTGTAAACAATTTATGCCTGCAGCATTTGCTGCTTATTCAGATATTTGCACTTGCATCAACCTCATTTTTAAATTTTAAAAAGTTATTAAAAATTGACTGGACATTTTTTTTTCTTTACTGCTCAATATTTTATAAATGATGCCCTAATTTTTTTAAAATAAAAATAAAAATCTGCCCAGCTCAGCCCTTCCGAAAATTCAGGCAGGCTGGGAAATTTAAAAAAATATATAATTGGCCAGGCCTAACAAAAAAATTCGGGCTGGGCTTGAAAATTTGTGCAAAAATTCTTAACGGCCCAGCTTTATCGACCTCTAATAAAAATACTCATTTGATTAAGTTACTGAGTCGAGTTGGGATACGGTCTAGGAATTTATTTATACACTCTTAACTTGTCCCCGGTTTTTTTTTCCATACAAGATTCTCAGAGCCTAAAAACCCTTTTTAAATTTAGGAGGGTTAACAGTCCTAGTTTTTTTTGTCAAATACAAATTGAATTTATAATATTTTACTTAATAGAAACAAATGGAAGTAAAAAATAGAAATGTAAATTCTTCCAAAAAATATTTCAACAAGAACCGTTACAACCCACCCACTCAATCTCCTCTTATTCGCACAGCATATCGCCAAAAGTTATTTTATTAACAAAATATTATTTCAGAATTGTAAACTGAACCAAGATTAAGTTTAAGAAATTTTTTTTTCATTAACACAAACCCACCTATTTTTGGTTCCTTATCTGGGTTCAGGTGGTTTAAAAAATTATTTGATTCATTTAAGAACAGATTATATATGTGAATTAGAGTTCAGCAAAAGTAGGGCCGAACCCGCCTATTTTTTTAAAAAAAATGGATTTCGAATTTGGGTCAGGCCGGCAAAATTTTTTTAAAAAAATTTCGGGCAGGGCTTGAAAAATTAGGCCCGATGCAGATCACTAAAGTTTTCATTAATTAATATTAAATATTATATATAATATTTAACCTTTCATAAATGTACCAATCAATTACCACCCAAGCTTGATGACATGATATTTCTAATATAATATTTTAAATTAAACCAGAGCTTAGAGTGCTCTTCAAAATAGAAAATCTTCAAAGATTTTTATCTGATGATTTTATTGAGAATGTTCAAACATATGTTTTGATCAATTTTACCTTAAAATTCCAAATCTTTTTTTGTAAGTGATTTTTTTGTGATTTTTATGTATAAAAATTTATCATGATGAAGCACAAATTTTTTTAAAAAAATCTTCTATTTTATGATCTTCCAATTAGAACAAAGTCAGAGATCCAAGCCGTGGCAAATAACGTTTTAGGTTCTGTTTATATTTAGAGTTTAAAAGCTACTTTTTTTAATTTAAGGTTGCTCATTTTTAAATGCACTATGGTTGTATTTTCTTACTAATTTCCAAACTTTTAAATTTTACCTGAACTAATCCCCTTCCCCTTTTTAAAGAAGTTTTAACGGTTAGACAATTTTGAAGAATAAAATTTTTTGAATTTTTTAAGTAAAGACAGGGAAAGAGAACGGGAAAAGGGGGTAGACCAAAAAGAACTTTTAAGACAAATGCGACTCAATGCCGAGTGGAACAAGAAAAGGAGGAAAGATATTCTGGATAAAGAGGAGAAAAGGAGCCGTATAGAAGATAAAGTTATACGTGATGATAGTTCATCAAAAGCGGAAAATTTTGTCAGGTAATTTTTTGTTATAGTAGTACATATAAATAGCTATTTCTAATATACTTCATTTGGAAATAGGTCAAATTAGATAGGCTAATATTACTTTAACCAGATCCTATTAATAAATATAAAATTATTTTAGACTAAAAATGTTGTCCAAATGATTAAAGTATTTAAATAGAAAAAATTTAAATAGAATTACCATTTTTTTTACGATTTTTATATTTTGAATAAGTTAACCTATTTTATAATTCAGACCTATGTTATCGGAGATGGCGAAAATGAACACATTAGAAAGTCGCATACGTAATAATCGATCCAAAATCCACAAGAATATGACTGAAAGATGATTGATATTTCGAATTTAATATTTTCATTATTTTTTTGAAAATATTTTTGTATTAATTGACTGTAATCAATTTTAAATTAAAATATTTTTTAAAAATTTAATTGTACTGATTTTTTTTAACATCAATTTTGTAATCAAATTTATCTCCTAAAATCGAAAGACCCCATTAGTGGCTCATTTTGAGCCGATATTTGAAAACGGTTAACTCAATATTTCATCCAGAAAAATATTACGCAACCTGAAGATTTTGCTAATAGAAGGAAAGGTCTAGGAATATATATCGAGGCTTTGGCATTCTGGCGAAATTATTGAGATAACCGTTTTTAACGGCTCAAAACTCCGTTTAACAACACTAGACTCCATAATATTTCGACATCTCTAGCTGCCAATAAGTGATCATTTATAATGAGAAATATATACAATGAATAGAATCGTCTCATCACTGGGTTCGAGTATAAAAAAATTCAACATTATTTAATGAAAAATTCTCGCGAAAATAATTTATTAATACATTTTAATTTATTTATTAATTGTAAAAAAATAAATTTACAATAAAAGTATTTGTTCATTTTGGGTATATTTATTTGTAGAAATTACATTTATAGCAGGGTTTTAAAATTCGGTCAGAAAGGAAGAAACGATATTTTTATTGATTCATTCTAGAAAATGTTTTGGTTTCTATGGCAGAATGTCTTTTTCGGGACGTTATTATCATTTTCTTTCATATTTTTATCAATAGTACTATTTTCACCATAATCAATGTTTTTTTAGTTCTTCAGATCAGTATAAAATATCACATATTTACCCTTATAATAAATTGTAGAATGACTTTGACCTCTACTCATTTTTACTCTTAATTTTGTTTTTATAAAAATAGTATTTTTGATATTCAGATTAATTTTCCTTTTCTTTTTTATCTTGATTTTATATATAAGTATATGTAATAGAAACAATTAGCCTCAAAGGCAATTAAATATATGATGAATTTTAAATATATATATTATTAATTGTGTACGACGATTAATTGTTTGTTTTGTAAAATATATATATACTGCGGTACAAAAGGTAAAAAGTTGTTAAATTTATAATAAAAATTGATTTCATCACAATGGCGCAGTCGTTTCAAATGGAGAAATATAATATAAAGGAGTGCAATATGGAAGTTTATTTATCAAAAATGGAATTCATATTTAAAATCGCAAAAATAGAAGATAAAAAATCATTTTTATTAGCGAATATTGGATTAGAGGTTTATTCTAAATTATTTAATTTGTGTTAGCCAAAGACATTAGAGGAAATATCATATGATGACATAATTAAACTTTTAAAAAATTATTATATGAAGAAGACAAACTTCCTATTAGAAAGATATTATTTTTTTAAAATGGAACAAGAAAAAGATGAAACCATCGTAGAGTATATTAATAAATTAAAGATAAAGGCAAAGACGTGTGAATTTAAAGATATGTATAATACAGTATTGCGGGACAAATTAGTGTCAGGAATTAATAATGGAAAAATATTAATGAAATTAATTAACACGCAGGACTTGACATGGGAAAGTGCAATACAAATCGCGACCGCAATGGAGACTACAGAAATGATATCGTATGAAAAATTATCTGCAGGGAAGGAGATAAATAAAATCTCAAAAACAGTAACAAGGGAGCAGTATGACAAGTACAAATCAATACCAAAAATTATTTGCTATTGTTGCGGATTAGGAGATCACATAAAACCTAAGTGCCCTAATTTGAATGCCATCTGCCATAATTGTGGGATAAAAGGACATTTACAAAAAGTATGCAGAAGGAATCGTGGAAAGAAGGAATATATTCGAACGATAGATGTTCCAGAAAATGAGCGAGAAAGTTTTGAGGATTGGGAATTTCCAGAGGAGTCTCGAGAAAAATTTGAGGTGAAATTATTGATAGTTAAAATTTATATTAAATTTTTAATTGACACAGGATCGGCAGTCTCCATTTTGAATATAGAAGACGTTTACCGTTTAAAAATACCAGTAACAAAAACGGATATTATTTTAAAATCTTATAATAATGTAATGATCAATATTAAAGGTAAGTGTATATTACCCGTTAACTATATGAATAAAGTTATATATCATGAATTTATTATTGTAAACAATGGGATTAACTTGATAGGTAGAAACCTAATAAACAAATTAAAATTAATAAAAATAAATCAATGTAATATAGTTAATGAGGTTTGGGAGGATAATATTGTACATAAATTTTCCTTATTATTCACTAAAAAATTTGGTTTATTAAGAGGTTTTAAGGCCAGTTTAGCGGTAAAATCTAACCCACAGTTTCAATGTATGAAAAGTAGACCGATACCATTTGCGTGGAAGGCAAAACTTGAAACGGAATTACAACGACTGGAATCCATGGGAGTTTTAGAAAGACTAAAATACGAATATCGCTTCTCCGATTGTACCCGTATTGAAGAAAGATGGATCTTTATGAATTTTCGGTGATTTCAGACAAACGGTTAATGCAAATATTTTGATAGATAAATATCCTTTACCCAGAATTAATGAATTATTAGCCACACTAGGTAATGGGTGTAAATATATAATATTAGATTTATCCTACGCGTATTTTCAAATAGAGCTAGATGAGGAGGCAAAAAAGCTGTTAGTAATCAACACGCCTAGTGGATTGTATCGTTTCACACGACTTCCGTTTGGGGTAGCCTCAGCGCCAGCGATTTTTCAACAAGCAATGGATTCATTATTAAAGGGATTACCTGGAGTAGCGGTATATTTGGACGATATAATAATTACGGGGGAATCAATTGAGAGTCATAAGAAAAATTTGATAAATGTATTAAAGACGTTAGAAATAAACGGTATGAAATTAAATCTAAAAAAATGTGATTTTTTTAAAGAAAAGATTGAATTCTTAGGTCATACCGTTAGCGAAGAGGGAATTACAACAACAAATAAGAATGTCAATGCAATTTTAGACACACCATTACCAAAAAACGTCAAAGAATTACAAGCTTTTATCGGTATAATAAATTATTATCCAAAATTTATAAACAATTTTTCGACTATTGCCGCTCCATTATATAGGCTTTTAAGGAAAGATGTGCCATGGAAATGGGCAAATAATGAAACAATTGTGATTAATAAATTTAAAAAATTAATATCAGAAGCACCAATTTTAACACATTATAATCCGGAAAACCCGATAATTCTAGCTGCTGATGCGTCTCAACATGGAATAGGATCAGTTATATCTCATATCATTAACAACGAGGAAAAACCGATTGGATACGCGTCTCGAACATTAAATGCTGCCGAACGAAATTACAGTCAGATAGAGCGTGAGGCTTTAGCAATTATATTTGGATTAATTAAATTTAAACAATATTTAATTGCCAGACATTTCATTATCATTACTGACCATAAACCCCTAATATCGTTACTTAATCCACATAAAAGAATAACAGATATGTCATCAAGATTAGTAAGATGGTCATTACTACTAGCAAATTATGATTATGAATTTCGAGGGACGAAAAAAATAGTAATGCGGATATGCTTTCCCGGTTTCCAATTGACGGTAAACCATCTGCTTGGGAAGAGTTAGATATTAATTTAATAGTATCGGATGCTCCACAATTTATTTCAGCGTTAGATATAAAAGTTCACACAAGAAATGACCCGGTATTATCAAAAGTTTCACGTTACCTTACAACTGGATGGCCAAAGATGATAGAGGAAAATCTTAAACCGTTTTTCCAGCGCCGAAATGAACTCACGATGGAGGCAGGGTGTATATTATGGGGCTTAAGAACCATAATTCCAAAAAAATTACAAGTAAATATTTTGTCTTTTTTACATATGGGGCATCAGGGTTATACTAAAGCAAAATTATTGGCACAAGAGAACGTTTGGTGGCCGAATATTAACGAAGATATCGAATTACACGGTAAGAATTGTGAATTATGTCAAACAAATAATCCTGGCAATAAAACGATCATAGGGAAATGGCCCTCAGCAAATAAACCATGGGGAAGAATTCATTTAGATTTTGCCGGACCAATTATACCTAGTAATAATTGATAGTTTTAGTAAATGGCCTGAAATATAAAAAATGACTACGAATAATTTTTCTGAAGTAAGAAAATTGTTGTTAAGACTTTTTGCTATTTTCGGTTACCCTAATACGATTGTTACGGATAATGGCCCCCCATTTCAAAGTATAGAATTTAGTTTATTTTGCAAACAATTATCAATTAAAAATGTATATAGTGCCCCATACCACCCTAGAACCAACGGAGAAGCGGAGCGATTAGTACAAACTTTTAAAAAAATTTTTTAAAAAAACATAATGATTATAATAAAATACAAGATTTTTTGTTTAATTATCGAAATACGCCACAAATAACCACAAAACAATCACCAAGTTCAATTATGCTTAAATTTCAACCCATAGGACCTTTACAATTAATAAAACCAGTTTATCCTCATCCATATATACCTCAGTTACCAGGTTTTTTTAATATAAATGAAAAAATATATGCAAAGGATTTTAAAAAAGATAATTGGATACCAGGTATCATCGTTAAAAGAACAGGACCAATGACGTTTTTAGTTGAAACTAAATTAGAGGTATGGAGAAGACATATTAATCAGTTAAAACATAGGTTCGACAACTCAGAATTAAAAAATAGAGAGGAGGGAAGAGAAGAAGAAACGATGCAAACTACACCACAAATGAATGAAAATGAGCCCATACAAAACTCAATGACTAAAGACATTGATCCTATACATGAATTGGTGACCAAAGACATTGACCCAATACAAGACTCAATAAACAAAGACACCATCATAAATGATAAGATGAAAATCGACAGTAATGAGCAAACAGTGGTAGAGAACGAAAGTACAAGCAGCCGTTATCCAAAACGGATAAGAAAACAATTTATACCGTTTCAAATCGAGAGCCCAAAAAAGGAGAGAATAGATGTAATAGAAACAATTAGCCTCAAAGGCAATTAAATATATATATTATTAATTGTGTACGACGATTAATTGTTTGTTTTGTAAAATATATATATACTGCGGTACAAAAGGTAAAAAGTTGTTAAATTTATAATAAAAATTGATTTCATCACAGTATAATTATTTTACGAATATATAGATTTAATTTTTTGATGATGATTAAAATTTTCATTTTTTAAATTTTGTGTGTAAACCTCGTGCAAATTTTTTGGATAAATAATACAGATATTTTATTATATTTTTGTAGCTATGGAAAAATAATATTTTTAAATAATTGACATGTAAATTATAAAAATCGGCTCAGGAGTCACCACATTGAGCGGCTTGAGTTCAGAGTTGAAAAAACTTAACTATTTAACAACATTACATCTGGGTATTTTAATCATGGTTGGTTAAACATATTTTTAATATAATCTTGATAGAGTTGCCTCGATGGAAAATATAATAATTTAAAAAAAACACATTTATGCGATATGTTGTCCAGTGCAAAAAGCATTATTAGTGAAAAATATCTGGTTAATGATGCTTACTACCATAATGTATTACCTATCCAGAGTGAATTTAAGAAGAAATAATTTGTCAAATTTAATGTTCATAAAAACACCCTATATATCGAAGTGAATTGATTCATACGTGAAAATACGAAAAAGAAACATCGCAGGGTCATTGATATCTTTTCAAAAAATAATACAGCCCAAAGGAAACGAAGAAATAAAAAATTGTAGCCACCCCCCCAACCCCCCCAAAAAAAACTATGCACGACTGATTATAATCAAATTTTCAATCCAAATAAAATACAAATTAGTTTAATACTACTTGTTACTGACTCAAAAAAATTTAATTCATCATTTTTAAGCGTTTCACCTTATAGGCTTATGGAAAACAATAATGCTGCGCTTGTTTCTTCACGCGCGTATCAAATTGGGTAAAAAGAAATATATGGGGGTTAATTAAAATGTCATCACCAACCTATTATTGGGTAGGCTGCAAATGGAAAAGTTGAATTTAATTTTTACTGAATTAGAACCTGAAATGAAATCATTTATCGCCAATGTGAAGTGAGAAAATATATGTCCATTATACTTTTATAAAATCGTTTATGCCTATCTAATCTATTACCATATTGTAGCTTTAATTAACAAAATACAATTTATATTAATACATGAACTTAATAGGTTTACAACTTAGTTCATGAGAGAGATTAGTGATAAATTGCATTTTATTTTGTATAAGATTTTATATATCTCCATTGATCAGACTTATCCTAAATGAATAAAATTTAATATATATTTTTTAACTCATATGTTCCTTGACAATAAATTCATGCATAATAAAATTGTTTTCACTTATCAATGGATCAAATTCAATATCCATTTGATTCGGAAAACCGATCCCCGAGTTAATCCAAAATCAATTATAGTTGATGAAATTTAAAAAATAGACAAAGTTTGAAGATACAAAAAGTTATTTTCCAGCGTCTTGTTGACAGGATATGCATTGAAACCACGGCCCCCAGTAAAAATCCTATATCAACCCACCTAAAAAAATTCTACCCCTTCTGTAATGATATTTCTTCATTATTAATTACGCGTTTTTAATTTTAATGCACTCCTGTTCATACATTCATACACATTAAAAAAATTAACTTAAATTATCACTATTCTACTACCAAATATCAAAAAATTGAATGTTAACGAGTTATTATTTAAAACATGAATAATTAAATAACTCGTCATTTAAAATAACCTCATTATAGTATATTGTTTCGCATGAATATGAGCCTATTGAAAGAATGTCTAACCCTTTTAGATTACATTTAATAGGAATAATTATCCAGAAAAGGTTAGATTTGAAAAATATTTACTGATTGCATGTAATATAGGAATTTAACCAATGTTTTAGAATATCACTGCATTATAATAGGTCTATAATCAAAGTATTAAATAATTTTTTACAGCTATTCTAAAAATTTATCGTATATCTAGGCATTCTCTTAAAATTTTTTAATGCAAACATCTACCCACCCTTCCCCCTTCCCATCCCTTCGCCCTGTTCATGTGGTTGCTATTTATTTCCAGTTGAATATAATTTCCTCTTTTCAAAGTTTTAGCTTAAATAATTTTATAATAGAGCATTTCATTTACACTGAAAAGGTGAATTATGTAAAAATTTTAATTATAGTAAAATTAAATTGTTAAGTTAATGTTTTAGTTAAAATTGCTTATTTTTTATTTTTTCCAAACTTTTATCGACCAATCACAGAAAGGGATAACTTTTACCATTCTTAAAGGCACGAAAATTGTTCTTGAGATGGAACGATGAGAAATTTAAATTTTAAATAATGTCTAGCATATCTCTTAGATATTGGTCGTTCTCAGTGTTATGGCTGTGTTATTGTTTTATTTATTTTACTAGAAAACCTTTAGGAATTGTAATTATTGACCTAATTCTACCTTAATTGGTATTTGATATAGATTAAAACAGATCTAGAAAAGGGATATGGATATGCAAGGGTTACTATTGGAATGTTGGATTCTGCATTATTATTGCCTTATTCAATTTTTCAGGTTTTTTATATTTCATATATCAATAAATTTATATAATTCTTAGTTTACAAATATAAATTTTATATATATATTTTTTTGATTTCTAATTTACTAATGATAAAGTTTATATTATTATCAATGATATAGCAAAATTATCTCCAAGGGGGTAGGGGGAGGGTAGACTTTAGAAATATTATTTGACCTTCCCATTCTTAAAGTATAATATATTTCTTACTAAATTGGGGTATTCAATTCCTTTTTACCTAATTAATAAAAAATATTTAATTAAAATAATGGTAAAAATATTTTGTCCAGGTTTTGAAATTTTCATATAAATTATTTTAAAAACATTATATTTATATGTTCATGTTAACAACTGTAATCCAATTCTGTGTTATAAAATGGAATATCATTTGATATATAAATAGATGGATATTATTGAGATTGACACTAATATGAAGCTATTTTACATTCCTAATCAACAAATGATATTGAATTAATTTATATCTAATATTTAAAAAAACAATTTAATTTTTTATACATAAATTTTTTAAAGAGGTTGTTTATTTAAATGATAGTAAGCTAGGTGCTGATGAAGATAACAATAGTATTGTTAAACGGCTCGATTTGAACCGATTTTTAAAAACGGCTAACTCAATATATTATTCAGGCATAGGCAATGGAGTTAGCCATATTTAAAAATTGGCTCAAATCGAGCTGTTTAACAACACTAGATAACAATGTGTTATAATGTGCACAAATTAAGTATTTGCATTTACAATACCTTTTAAATTGAAAAAATTATAACCTGTCTCATATTTAAATTGAGGTTGCCTTTTTATTAGTATTGTTGATTCAAAATGTTAACGAGAAAGGTCTTTGTAAATTATATTATTGTCTGCTTTTTATCTCATTTTTAAATATTCCAATTTAACAAGGTTTTTTTTTGCTTTCTAACAGTTTTTACTGGTTATAGACCAGTGTGCAAAATGAATGAATAAAAATTATTGAAAAAAACAAAAATTTCCATTTTTTTAAATGTCTTCTAATGCCATGTGGTAATTTGACATATTTACATGATACCATTTGAAAATCTCAATTTGTAGAGTATTATACTTCAAAAATGTCAATTGTTGGAAAGCTTTTTAATATATTAATTTGACTTCTATATTATCTTTTAGATAAATAAGAAGTTATCATTAATTGGATTTGTGATAAGTAAAACTTAAATTAAAAAATAATTATAAATGTTTTTGACATTTTTGGGACTTTATTGAAACAGCTTCAGATATTATTAATGATTTAAATCATTTTGTTTAAAAATTGATTCAGTCCATAAAGCTAAAAATATGGGTGTGAAATAGTTGCTAAAAGGCTGAGCTTGTTTTGCATAACTCTGAAAATTGAAAAATATTTATTAATTACATCTGAAATTTTTGCCCACAAAAGAGGTACACAAGGTCACATGCAAGAGTTTTATAGTTCTCATAAAATTTTTCTCACCTTTAACAATGCTAAGAGGTAATGTTGTTATACAGCTTGATTTTAGCCAATTTAAAAATGGCTCACTCAATATTTTATACAGAAAAATATTACACAAGCCTGATGATTTTACTCATAGATGGCATTAGTGTTGTTAAAAAACCCAATTTGGGTCGATTTTAAAAAATGGCCAGATTAAAATCATAACCAAAATAACATTATGTAAGCCTAAAGATTTTCCTCATAGCTGGCAAGAAATTCTTGGACATCAATTTGCCAAATTTCGATGCTTACATAATATTATCTTAACTACAATCTTAATTTGGCCATTTTGAAAAATCTCCTCAAATCGGGCTTTTTAACAATATTAGATGTCACAAATGTTTGGATATCTAATAGAGAAATCTTGCTTAAGCAATATTTTATAGTTAAAATATTGAGTTAGCCGTTTTAAAAAATTGGCTCAAATTTAGCAACACTACTCATAGGTTTTAGACTATTAATGACAAAATAATCCCATTTGCCATCTTGATTTTTGGAATTTTTGAATTAATAAATTAGAAAAATTTTTAAAAATTTAAAATTGGTATCCAAGATTCAACAAAGAATTAAAAATATAAACACCGAAGCATATAATTGGAACTATGCAGATATTAAATATCGGATCGGCACCGATATTTAGCGTTTTTATAAAATATTTCGGATGGGGCAATATTGTTTATAAATCCTTTCTGATATTTTTTCTGTTTTCGGTTTTTTTATGATTGTATAGGATTATAAAAAGCCCGATTAGCGAAGTTTTTAACCAAAATCATGTAAATCTCGAGATTTGGCAAATATTTCTGCCATCTATGAGAAAAATCTCGAGTCTTACAAAAAATTATTTTGGCTAAAATCTTAATCGGATAGTTTTTAAAAATCAACCTGAATCGAACTTTTTAATATACCCTAATTGTATATATAATTTATTTTATTTTATAAATAATTTCGTAATAATAAATTAATAAAAGGAATTAGATACAATTTATTTGTTGCGATGTTTTAAAAAATAATTTGAAATTTTACACTATTTTTTGTTATATTAACTACAAAAAGGGATTTTTAAATATCTAACGAGTCACATTCAGCTTATGTTGTTGAACGGTTCGATTTGGCCAAACTCAAGATTTTGGCTGAAAGTAAATTACTCAAGCTTATTTATTTTGCCCACATATGGCAGAAAGGTTTGGATTTCTATTGGCGAAATTTCGAGGCTTAGGTAATAATATTTTGGCTAAAATCTTGATTTAGTTCTTTTTTAAAGACCAAATGAGGCTGTTTAAACTATATTTGTCTATAATTGGAGAATAAAAATAACAAAATGGATATTAAATCATTCGTGAAAGTTAGTTGGTTTTTTTTTAAAAATAGAAAATACTGATATTTTTATAACATTAGTTCAAAGATTGATGGCAAATGAAAATTAATATAAATATCGGATCGGTTTTTTAGTATTATAATAAAAATTTACGATGTCTCTGACTATAGTCTTAAACTTAAACTTGATACTCTTATAATTTATAAGTTGTAACATAAAAAAAAGTAGAGACATGTAATATCTTTGGAAAGTGTGATACCAAAATAAGATGGATTAGTTACCGTGGAAAACGATTATGATCGATTTTTTGCCCTCAAGTTCCAATGAGTTATTGTTAATAAAATAATACTAAGTACGCTTTTACTGTTGGAAATATAAGAGGCCAAACACAATCCTCTACTAATTATAGCGCCTTTCAATTTTTAATATAATTAATAACAATTTTTTTATGTGTAAATTTGATTATAATAAAATGAAATTTACCTCTAATATTGTTTATTTATTTATGATTTTTTTAGGCACTTTTTAAAAGAAGTTACTGATATAATTTTAATTATAAAATTAAAGTAAGATATTTTATCAATTTAAAAGAAATGAAACAAATTCTACTGTACATATGGAAATAAAAGTATTATGAAAACGCAAAAAAATTTCCATGGGAGAGGGGCAAAATCCTTCTTTGTCTATGCCACAGAATATTATTATTCCTTGCCTAAATACATCAAATATTTAAATAAGATTATTTTTAAAGAATATCAAAAGTTTACCTATTTTTATTTTCTCTTATCATTTGTGTATTTTGTTTTATCCATTAATATTGGCAAGATAAAATTTAATTGAATGTATTTTTTGAATAAAAACTATTATAGAAAGAAAGAATTAAATCCATTTTTTTATTTTTAAATCACAAAATTATTAGTTAATACCATTTCAAATGGAAACATACTTTTAAATGATATTATGTTGCTAATCCTGTAATTTATTTTGATATAGCTTTTTTTTAATTTTAAAACTTAATTCACTATAATAAATTTAAGAATTAAAATATAAAATTTTTATTTTATAATGCATGCAACAGCTCATATAAAGTTTATTTGTGAATTTAGAGCTTGGAATTTTAAAGATAAATCTTTTTTTGAAAAATTTATGATTCCATCATGAAAGATTTACTTTATGATAGATTTTTTACAAATAAAATTTGATCAAAAATCTTGTTTAAGCATTCTCGGAAAAGAATTCTTTATTTGAAGGCATTTCAAACTGATTTAAAATTCTAAAAGAAAACAACATTTCTATAAATTTGGTTTAGCAGCCTATATAACGATTTTTATAAATAGAAAAATATATGTTGTATTCCATATTAAATCAACCAAAAAAGTCGATTCTCGACCCGATAACCTTTGTTTTTTTAAAAAATTTGTTATACATTCACTAATATAAAATTTTACTTTTCAAATCGGCTTACCTCATGAGGTACGGCCATCTTCGCAAAAATTCCAAAATACACAATATTTAATTTAAAATATCTCAAAAAGCAATTAAGCTAAAAACATAATTTAAATTTTATTAAATAGGTTTAGAATAGCTCTTTAATATGTTATAAAATTTATTTTAAGTCTATTAACAAAAATAGGAAATGGCTATAAAATAAAAATTTCTCTTTCTATTTCTTTCAATTATTTTTACGGAGAGACATAATACTTCCTAATATTTGTACAAAATCCTAGGGACAAGTACTGGGCCAAGAGTATTACACTTTAAATATATCTACTCGATCCCAAATGATTTTTTTTTATTTATCCCAAAAATTCTTACCCGAAATAAAAATTTTGCCCCCCTTCCGAATTTATTATATTTTCAATAGAGTTTTACATTACACTACAAACAATTAAAAAAATATTAGCTACTTATTCTTGCAGATATTTTTAAAAATATTTATTTTATATAAAAATTAAGCCTATTCCGGTCCAAACCTTTTTTAAACATATTAGGCATGACCGAAAGATCACTAATGTCCACCCATCTATTTTTTATTTATCTAAATTTTAATCTTATTATTTTGAAGATTTGGAAAAATTACTATATATATTTTAATACAGGGTTGCAGGTGTTTATTTGGTTAATAATAAATAAGTTTGAAGTGTTTAAAAAACAGAAATACCTCATTTATATATTAGGAAAA